ATAAATTACAACTCAAATAAGGAAAAGCAGAGCCATGCGACAAAACAAAAGTGCATGCAAAGCAAACGAACTCAAACACCCTTAAAACTGCTACAAGAAAAAGCCCCATTGTATGGGAGTGGTGAGTCTTAGCCATATTGAACAACACATGCTATATGGAGGTTGGAGGTGGACAAGGAAGACCGTCATAATTTAAGACATGCACAAGAGAGGTGGGGGGCTTGGATACCTAGACTTCCAGACTTGAACGCAAGATGATCTACTGCTTCATTGTTTTTCCTACTGGTCTATGCCCAGTTACAGTTAGAGAAATTGGAATTGCATTCGCAAATCCTAGACAAAAGTGGGTAGAGATTCCATCTTCCACGCTTTATGTTTCCTTTCACGCTCTCGATCAGTTCTTTGGAGTCATATTCAAAACAAACCTCTGATAAGCCCAGCTCAGATGCCCATTCGCAACCTTGAAAACAAACAATTGCCTCAGCCATGATTGCAGATTCCGTGTGGAAAGGTAGGCATTTCGCTCCCACAAACTCACCATTTGCATTTCGTACTATAAGACTTGCTCCCCCTTTGCCAGAAGATGCCGACCAAGCAGCATCAAAGTTAACTTTAATAACATGGGCTACCGGTGAGGTCCAAGAGGCAGGATTTGGAGTCATGGGCATGTAGGGAAACATATTTTGTTTCTGTGAACTCTGATTTTCCCAGTAATTTCTAAGGAGATTTAAGGGAGACATAATAATTCTCTTTTTAATGTTGGAAGGAGTCTCAACTTTAACTCTAGTGCAGTTGATAAAACATAAAAAGAAAAGGATGTCTTTATTGGCATGTGGTTGTTCTTGATTCATTGCGACTACTCCCTCATCTTAAGAAATTGTTGAGATTAGAATATAGATCTTATTGTAACACCCCGACCCCAAATTTATCCCATGTTTTAATTTATTTAAGTGGAATTGAGAAATTACCCGTGAGATAGGGGTATTTTAGTCATTTTCTTATCCGGAAGGAATTTGGGAATTTCGGTTGTACCGTTGTGTAGAGCACGGTGAGATGAGTCCGTAGACACGTAGTGGGCTCGAATCGGAGTTGTAACGAGAGAGATATGATCAAATGAAGCTCAGTGGCATAATCGTAAATATTTTGAAGTGGGATTTTTGGTTAAAAGACGGAATTGCCCCCGTCTCTCACACACTCTCTCTCTCCCGCGCGTCCCTCTCTCTCCTCTGGTTTTCGCGACAGCCACTGTGGCCGGCCACGTTTTGGCCGGCCGTGCTCTCGTCCGGCCACCAAAGTCGACGGGGCCGGTACCAAAATGACCGGGCCGCCGTCCTCTTCCTACCCCAGCCAGGTCTCGCCGTCAGCCGTCGAGATTTCGCCGGAAAATCGAAGAGAAAAGCTCGGTTTCGCCCGAAACTTCGCCGGCTTCGTTCTCCGTCGTCCGGCCACCGATTCCGGCAAGTGAGGTATGGTTTCTCACCTATTTTCCGAGCTCTAGCTGCCTGTTGGGTAGGAATTGATCGATTTGTAGCGTAGGCAACTCGATTTACGAATTGGGTTTCGGCCGGATTTCGGGATGAGATTCCGGCCACTTCCGGTCAGATTTTGGGGTACGTCCAAGAACAAAAGTGACTCCAAATTAGGTGTTTTACCTAGGGTAGGAGTCTGGGCTCACGATTTGGAAGTTTTCCGGCGATGGGTATCGCTTTGGACACCCACGCGCTGCCGGCGCGTGTGGCGGCGCGTGAGCACTGTAGCTGAGGGGCATTTTTGTCCCACTGTGATCCTCTCGATGTCACGAGCGCGTAGGTGTGCTCGGATCTCAATTTGGATATCATTAGAGTCCCGAACGGATATCGCATATCGCGTATTTTCCGGGTTCGCTGGGTTTGGACCGTTGGATGGTCCTGAGATTGTAATATGTTGATCTAGGTATTACCAGGATCGTGTAGGATTTGACGGATCGTAAAACGGAGTCCCGGATACTCCGGAAATGCCAACCCTGGGGTTAGGGTTTTAGTAACCATCCGATCCTGCGATCGTGAGCGATCCGACCGTCCGATCTGGACCAAACTTGCAGGACGTGCATCCTAGAGCTTGTAGAACCTATAGGAACCAAGGTTGGGTAGTTTGACCCTGGTTTGTCTGTGGGACTTCCTAGGTAGTATTACATTCCTAGGAAGATTAAAATGACCGTGGTGACAGGTCCTGATGTCATGGGGATTATGGGAGATTATCGGATGCTAGTTGTTTGTTAAGGTGTTTGTATGATTAGAAATTATATGATATATTTAATTAATTGTGTGGATGTATATTGATATATAAAGAGATTGAATATTAGTTTACAGTGCTATACGCACTACCCCACGTACCCCTCATATTGTGATTATGCTAAGGCCCAAGTGACAGTAAGAGGGCTGGTGAGAATGTAGCCAGGCCCAGTGTGAGTCTTTGGGTTAGCCGGCGTGTTGACAGACCCCGTACGTGGCCGGGTGCGTCCCGACGTATGAGTGGGAGTTATGGTTGTGTGAGGGTTGGTGAGAATGTAGCCAGGCCCAGTGTGAGGTCGCACGCGTCTTTGGGTTAGCCGGCGTGTTGACAGACCCCGTACGTGGCCGGGTGCGTCCCGACGTATGAGTGGGAGTTATGATTGTGTGAGGGCTGGTGAGAATGTAGCCAGGCCCAGTGTGAGGTCGCACGCGTCTTTGGGTTAGCCGGCGTGTTGACAGACCCCGTACGTGGCCGGGTGCGTCCCGACGTATGAGTGGGAGTTATGATTGTGTGAGGGCTGGTGAGAATGTAGCCAGGCCCAGTGTGAGGTCGCACGCGTCTTTGGGTTAGCCGGCGTGTTGACAGACCCCGTACGTGGCCGGGTGCGTCCCGACGTATGAGTGGGAGTTATGATTGTGTGAGGGCTGGTGAGAATGTAGCCAGGCCCAGTGTGAGGTCGCACGCGTCTTTGGGTTAGCCGGCGTGTTGACAGACCCCGTACGTGGCCGGGTGCGTCCCGACGTATGAGTGGGAGATATGATGGTATGATGGCTGGTGAGAATGTAGCCAGGCCCAGTGTGAGGTCGCACGCGTCTTTGGGTTAGCCGGCGTGTTGACAGACCCCGTACGTGGCCGGGTGCGTCCCGACGTATGAGTGGGAGATATGATGGTATGATGGCTGGTGCGAATGTAGCCAGGCCCAGTGTGAGGTCGCACGCGTCTTTGGATTAGCCGGCGTGTTGACAGACCCCGTACGTGGCCGGGTGCGTCCCGACGTATGAGTGGGAGATATGATGGTATGATGGCTGGTGAGAATGTAGCCAGGCCCAGTGTGAGGTCGCACGCGTCTTTGGATTAGCCGGCGTGTTGACAGACCCCGTACGTGGCCGGGTGCGTCCCGACGTATGAGTGGGAGCTATGTGATTATGTTGGGTGTGTTGTGATGGATAAACCCGAGAATGTATGAATTTATATGGATGTGATGGTTTAATTGATATCAGGAGCCAGGATTGATAGGAAAGAGCTACGTGTGGCTTGATCCCTTAGTAGGGTACGTAGGCAGCCTGGGATAGCGCCTAGGTGCAGCCACGACCTAGACACCACTTAGGTGGTTTTATCGAGTATGATGCGGACCTCGTGGTTGGTCCCGAAACTTGGTTGAATTGAGGCTTGTCCGGTGGACTGAGTGAGCGAAGCTGTGTATGGATGGATTTCGAATTGGATTTGTGCATGTGTGATGCATTAAGTTATTTTGGAAAACAGTGTGAGTAGTTCTGCTAGAATCATTTGAAGGCCGGAGGCCATTTATGTAAATTGCATGAGATTATATTGTGCGTGCTGCTGGTTGGGTTATAAAATGTGTTTTATGCAGGTGGAAATTTTGGGGAATGTTCAATTTACAGGGGAGACTCTGCCGAAATTTTGGCAGAAAGTCTAGTGCCCTAAATCCTCTCTGGTAAAAGAGGACGTAGTTTTAAGGAGTGAACCCGGCGTGGGTGTGATGCCGGGGTCTCCGCAGGGTTCGTCTCGGGTTCCGGGAAATTCGGGGCGGGTCCTGTCACTTATAGTCATCAGCATTGATTTCAAACTACCTCCCTCTAGTTGATTCAATTCCCAGTTTTGCAGGATTGGCTTACTCATTTTAGGGTGGGTCTCCTTATGTGTTGATAAACGTGAGAAACTAGGAATTGGAATAACTCCCTTTCCTTTCCTCTCATATCCCTATAAGTAAACATGTCATTTATGGCATGTTTACTAATCTGTAATTGGATTAAGAGAAACTGAATTGAGGATGAATTGAATTGAGGAGGAGTTGGATAGAGGAGAATTAGATTCTGAATTCCTATTGAAGTTGTTTACTAAACCATATGGAATTGGGGTAGGAGTGGTGCTAATTACTAAAATGTTCTCGTTGTTGGGTTAAAAGTATATGGCAAATTTGGAATTTTTAAAATTGTATGAGGATATAATGGATAAAAAAGATGAATTCCTAATGAGTTAGTTCTCCAGGAATTAGAATACCACATCCCACCCAAGAATTGAATTCCTCCAAAATCAGGAATTCAATTCCAAATTTTGTGCGGGCTCCACTTACTTTTTAATTCATTGATGTGAAGTAACCGCAGGAATCCTCCATAGGTGGAATTCAATTCCTGATGAGAATTCTAATTCCTAATTCATAAACACACAATTAGAGTGAAGACAGTGAGTTACAGCTATCGTGACTCTTCAGTTGGGATTCTTATTTGGAATCTCCGGTCACGACTCTCCTTGTGTAGGGCTGCTGCCTACATGTAGGTCCCACACATTGTGAGAGAGAGAGGGTTGCCACAAGAATTACTCGTTTGAAAGATCAGGGAAAAAAAAACTCTTTCATTCCATATCTTTCTCTAATGTCACTTTTCCTAAATTGTGCAAAAATAAAAGTTGCTTCTACCAAAAAGTTAAAAAATAATTGCCCAAAATTCCTACACAGACTGCTGCAAAAAATATTCGAACATCTCGCTTCTTTAGTCTCCTTTGACATGCTGCCTCATAAGTATAAAGCCAAATGATGCCACCATTGCAACCAGGTACCCAGCAATAGCTCCATAACTCACACAAATGGGCCATTCCTGCAGAAAGTAATATATCTTAAGACCTCAATAGAAAAGAGAGCAACCCAAAAAAATGGAGCATCCAAATGATCATACAAGTGACACAAGCATTTCCGTCAACTATGACTTATGAATGCCCACTGCCATAGAGCAAATCTTTGAAGTTCACTTTTTCTTTTTCTTTTTCTTTTTGGTTTTTTTTTTAATAACCTAATAGTAAACAGAAGTCCAAAAGTAGTATGACAGCGGTCGGTAATGCATCAATAAGATCCACCAGAAAAAAAAACTGATGCTGTAAATCAAGTTAGTCATCCATGAATTAACAGTACCTACGGTGGTAAACCATTGAAGTTCACCATGAACAATATATAACAAATAGCTGCTGAATCAATTTATCATGCTACTTATTCATTTCTTCCTTTAAGTCTTTCCAAAAATCCCCTGCCATCCGTGGCTTCCTGGCTTGCATAGACTATGGAATCACTGCCTTTAAATCTGAAGGGAGCCTCCAGCACGTCGTTGTGAACTTGTGATAACAAGTTTACAATACAACCCAAAATCAGTGGATTGGATAGGCTTTGGTTGAGAAACTCTTTCAGTTGCAAACATGGTGGCCTCTATTCAACCCAATAAAATTGGTCTGGATGGTGTTCGAGTCCAAATCCCAACTCACCCAATCCTTGAGCAGCCTTACTCACTAGAGTATATGAGAGTAAGGACTTGTCAGCGATTAGGAAGGGAGGTGAAAAGAAGATCTTAATCTTATCATTTTGAAACCATATCTAATCTTATTTTCTGTTTTCGGTTATTAAGCAACCACAATGTTCCATAAAATCTATATTTGACCATATTTTTAAGCTAGAAGAGCGATTTGGGAAATAGTAAGTTCTTCCAATTCATCACCTACTCCCACTAAGATCAAGACTTATCGGAAGTTTAGACAACATTAAACCTTTCTGAAGATGAAACATTAAAAGAAATTTTTTCATTCAGAGGCAGGTATGCCTAAAGAACACTAGTCAAGAAAATGGAACTGGATACAAATGTATTAAGCTTGTAACACTGTCAAGCACATTAATGGCTCTCAAGGTTTGCCAGTTCGCCTTGGTGTCAGAAGGCTGCCAAACTGTGCAATGAATAAATAATGCAACACATTATATAGTCGCCAAACTAAGGAGAATTTAGAGTGTTCTCTGACATACTAGGACTAGTACTTATGGGTCTTCAATAGTTCAATTTCAAAATACGTGCAAACTTCAATGAAAAACATTCCACAAACAACAAATAAAGGAAGAAAATAAATCTTACAAAAGAACAAAACATGGGAAAAGGAAGAAGATCGTACCTGCCATGGGCGTTCCCAGTCAAGCGGCATTGGAAAAGCTCCAAACCAAGCACCAATAATAACTCCATGTGCTGGTATACAAATCATATAATCTACAGGGTCAATAGCTCTGCAAGTACATAAATAAACCAAGACCTAGTATAAGTTTAGAACAACTACACTCTGGGATTGAATTATTTTACAGTATAAATGAACTCTATCCAATTAAAGATCACAACTAAAATAAACATGATTAAACATGAGAAAAAAGAAGCAAATAAGCATAGGAAACTTGCTTTGTACATGCAAATATGCGTTGCCAATCCATCCATGATGAACCAAAAACAGAAGCTGCAGGCACAATCTGCAAATATACATAAATTCAGTTTTAAAAATGTATCAAAACCACAGCATAACAAATAAGAAAGTAGAACTCATTGCAAAGTCACTATTACTTCAATGAAATTTGTTAAAGAAAATTAATAGATTCAGCAAATTGAACAAAAGAACATATAAAAAGATTGAAAACAATCATAACTACACACCATTATAGGTTACTTTTGACAACGAGTGCCAGATAGCAACAAATAATATAGAACACTGGATTATAGCTTAAAGAAAGTGGAAGAATCCCATCCAAAATACTCTGAAAGTAGAAATTAAATATTGTACGACTTGCAACCCCAATGTAGAGGAGGACACTTACAGTGAACAATGACATCACTAGAGACCAGTTAATGGTCTTTGGTAGATACCTGTATCAGAAAAAGGAAAAGGAAAAGGGACAAATTATGACAGATTGTAATATGGCTAAATCTATCAAATGGCGACTCTGATCAATGGATCATTTAATAACACATCTTTCTTGTTAATACTGAAAGCATGAATCACAATTGAGGTTGAATAGGCCCGTCAAATCATCAACAACAACAAAAATACCAGCTAAACCTATATCCACCATGACTATCTTTCTCAACCAAAAACACAAACATGCAAAAGAGCGATTTGAGTTCCCAAAAGGAGGTGGATAGTGTACCTTATTGCAATGTTGATGATGTGACGGAATTCTAGTTTTGTTAAAAGGGACAAAAGGGTGAAAATCTATTCCCTTCCAACCTCAGCTGTGACTTCTACTTTCAGAATTATTCTTATTAATGACATTGCCTATTTGAGCTCTTAATTCACATACTGGATTCCAGCGGGTGCGCCCAAGGCAATTGCTCCCAATGCATTTACCAGAGCCCCTACAGAGTGTAAGACATAATAAGTTGTGATATTTTCTTTATTAGTAGTATTACAAAATGCTTAAAATTAAGAACATTTTATATCGTTATAGTAAAAATTCATTACGAAACAAAAAATCAGTGCACCAAAAAACAACAAATGGAAAATATATCCACACGAACTCTCCATACATCATAAGATAATAACTTAGAGCTTGGTTGTCACCTCCACATACTACAATGAAAACTCCAGAGATGACTTACATTTCCTTTAAAACCGAATATAGCATAGCTTAGGATATGTCATATACGAATGCTTTAAAAACATTGACACGAACTCACTAAAGTTGCAATTCAAAACTATATACGATAGAGCAGAAGATAAATTTGAACTGTGGACTAACCAGCAGGAAGTCCCAGTAGGCCACGTCCTACAGCTTTCAAATACTGTAAACATCACATTAAAGACTATCAGAGAAACTACAATGAATCAGAAGTCACAAAGAAATAAATAAACTCATAGAAGGCTTGTTGTTGGGTTGCTTAAAAAACCAATTTTTTATAAAATTTTCCTGCATTTTCCATGCGTTTCTCAGCTACCAAACAGGAATATCAAGGCATAAGAACTTACGGAGCATCGTTCACGGTCCTTCCTGTATCGGCTGTAAAGAAGGATCACAATTGGGCACTCAAAAACCTTCAAAGCGAAAAACCCAAATGAAAAATAATAAAACAATTAGAAAAGATTAAAAGGAAATTCGAAATTTGGAGATGAAAATAGAGAAGTCAAGGGTAGGCAAGAAGGTACGCAGATCAGACGAAGGGTATGAGAAGGATGGGTGGTGAGGTTGACGGAGTGGACATTGTGGGCCACCCAGAAAGCTAAAGTTAATCCTAAGCCACAAATCAGGTGGACAACCAGTGCCTCTGTTGCAGATATTGATCTTGAGGAAGCTTTAACGGCCATCTCTTTGTTCTTCTTCGGCTTCATTCTTGTTTTTCGTTTGTGCTGCTTCAAGGAGAAAGTAAACCGTTTGTTTTGTCTATTTCTTTTGCTCTCTAGGATGGGCTGGAATATTGAGCCCATAAGGACCGGGTCGGTTTTGTAATTTTTTAAATTTAATATAATTTATTGTTTTTTTTTATGTAATTTTTATAATTTTTTACGACTCTAGCACTCAGACCAGAAAAATAATAATAATAATAATGTAACTCACTCACCTTCATTCCCCAAATTTTTTTTTGCCCAAAATAAATCATGATCTTTAATATTTGTGACAAAATGTTTGTGTTATCAACTTAATTGCGCATGCAAGAGGGTTTTTTTTTATCACGCATGCAGTGGCGGATCCACCATGAGGTCAATGGGGTCAGACGACCTCATGGCAGATCTGGAGTTTACTGGTAGGGACTGGTTTTTGCCCTTGGCAGCCATGGAAATGACCCTATGGTGGAGAAGAAGAAGCTTCGGTGGGATAGGGTTCTTTTAAAAATAAAAATAAAAATAAAAATAACTGATTTCCAAAACGACATTGTTTTGGACAATGCTATTTTTTAAAATGACCTAGCCAAAACGACGTCGTTTTGGGCTAGGACTTAAAAAAAAAGAAAAAAAAGCTTCTTAACAGCAGAGACCCGAAAATAGACAAAAATCCCATTTTTCATCTTCCTCCTCAACAACAACCCTAACCCCAATCTCCCCAAGACCTCCACCAACACCATCTCCTCGACGCCGCCGCTAAGGGTGCTAGCTGCCGTTCACCACCAGCCGTCCCCGTCGCCGCCACTATTTTTGTGAAAATTTACAATTCACTTCAAGTAAGTTCTAATTTCTAAACCCTAAGTCTAAATTTATGTTGAAGTATGATATATTTAATTAAATTGAAATCAAATTCGTAATTATTTAGGTGAAATTGATGGTTTGAACTTTGATTATAGGTTATATATTTATTAGATGATGTATGTATTGATTTGTTGAATAATTGGTTATTTTTACATTAGCTTTAGTTTTACCAGTTGCAACAGCTTCAGTGGAGAGGGCATTTTCCGTCATGAATATTATTAAGGGTCCACTTCGAAACAAAATGGGAGATGAGTTGTTGAATGATAGCTTGTTGATTTATAAGAATAGTATTGAAAATGAAGATATGTTTGCTTGTATTGAAAATGAAGATATGTTTGCTTGTATTGAAAATGAAGATATAATGCTACGTTTTCAAAATATGAAACCAAGTTGTGGACAATTGTAACTTGTAATATTGTTTTTGACATTAATTATGAGTGAAAGTACTACCGTTTCATTTTCAATATTTTTTTTTTCATCTTAAAAAATTATTGGGTAGTTTACACTGTGACCACATGAGTGGCAATTCCTGCATCCGCCACTGCACGCATGGCCTAAGTTTTTTGTTAAATTTCTTTTAATTTGCTTAACCAGTGAATTTGACAAGAAAAAAGAGACTTTTCTGTCGCACTTACTTTGAGTTTCCTGTTTTTTTTCCCTTTGTGAGATTGTTTTAACAAACTAGTTATTAGTTTGGTAGTATTTTTCTTCTCAATGTTGGAAGATGCTTCAAAATCAATTTTCTCACCCATGATAAAAAAAAACAAAAAGAAGCTATTTTATTTCCCAAAGTGGCCATAAACTTCAAATTCCTGCTAAATAGCCCTCAACGGTAAACTTTTTTTTTCTTCTATTCTTGAGTTCATTTTCATCCAAGAATCCAACAAACAATTTGCAAAAAGAGTAACACAAAACCAAAAATCAAGGTGTGAAGTTGGAGGGAGGGTTCCAAAAATTTCAATTTTTGGGACTAACTTCACACTAGGTGTAGGGCATCGGGACTGGAAAATTAGAACACCGAACCGGATAGGTGAAAAAAAGAGGGGAAAAAAACCAGTTGACAAAAAAGTCAACAAATCGAACTGAAATTGGACCGAATCGGTTCCAATTGGTTCCGGTTCTAATTTTACACTGCACCAAACTGGACCAGTTGTATTTTTTTATTTTATTTTATTACAAAATTTTAAAATCCAATTCTATATTTTAAATTTTATAATTAATATTTTTCCAAATTCAACTTAAAAAAAATTATCATTGTATGAATTGGGTCATTTGTTAATTTTTAAGCCAAAAAAATAGCTTTTTTTATTTTAAAAAAATTTAAAAATTAATAATCCAGTTCAAAATCGGAACCGATCAGAACCGAACCGACCAGTTTTAAAATTTTTTTTGCTTAAACTGAACCGGTTAAATAGTACTGGTTCCGGTTTGAGGTGAGAACCAGGTTGTGCCCACCCCTACTTCACACCTGATTTTGACCAATCCAATCTCAATGAGAATTTGCAAAATTATACCTTTTTTTATATTATATTTATTTCTTTATTTATAGAAAAGGATTTCATTCATATAACGGAGTAGTGTACATAGAGTGACATGAAACACTGACCTCGTTAAAACCTTTCTGAGGGACAAACCCTAGGGTAGGAAAGAGTACCACACATGTCATAGACTAACAAAAGAGTTTGAATCAGTCACGTAGGACTAGTGTGAAAGCAAGATAAAATAAATCAGCAAAATGACACATAGACCCCTGATGAGAACACTACAACACAACCCAACTGTCAAAAGAATATTGCTATGTGATCATAGTCTTTTGCATACCCACAAGATAGTGAGAGCATATAACGAAGAACACACCAATTCGCTAGGAAGAAAGAAACCACAAGCACACCATCTCTAGCCACCTCCAATAGTTAATGGCGATGAAGGTAGAGAAAGCTGTAAAGAGCAACACAAAGAAGAGACTAACCCTGCAAAGAGGCAAGGAAAAGAAATAAAAGGACCCCCAAGCACGACGTATCATCTTAACACTGACAAAGACAACTCATATGAAACCATAGGCCTTGAAACAGGTGAAGAATCAAAGATATGCTAAGGGTGAAAATAAGAAAACACCACATAATAATAAGAAAACTGGTCTTAGCCACTTGGCTGTAGCATATATTTCAGACTGGTGCCGAAGAAATCAAACACTGTGGAGCAAAGTGGTTGAGCTAGGGGGAGATGGAATCCTCTACCTCAGTGCATTCATGAAAGGATGACCACTAAGATCGAGTGTTAGAACTACTACGATCACTGGAACCATCATTGGTCTAAAGACTAGCCTGCCAAGGAGAATGAATGGGGCTTTTATATGGGGGTGAAGGAGCCGAAATTCGGCTCTCCAAAGAGCCTATAGAGTTGCCCCGCAAGTTGGTATCACCTTCTAGATCAACAAAAGTCTAGGAAAATTGGACCAACAAAGACGGATTGAGAGAACCTTGAGAGAGCTCATATTTATCAATACACACTCAAGATGAATGACCAATTTTGCCGCACGCAAAGCAATATTCAAGAAGATATTCATACTTAAAGTCCGCCATTCGCTCTTTCACTTCTGGGAAAGTAATAGGTGTATGACAGATAAGAGGTTGTGTGACATAAAACCTTACACAAATACGGATAAAACACCCCATATAGTCAGTACATTCGCGATTATCCAAGCAAAGAACTTCTCCGAGAATAGCCCTTATGGCTTTAGCAACAACGACAGTCATGCATAAACTAGGGACACCATGGAGTTGAACCCAAAAGGTACTAAGGGATAATGGCGTCGAGTGCAGATTCCCAATATCTGAGATGTGAACCAGCAATATCAATGAACGCTAAAAGGCCCAGGGCTCCATATCAAGAACTCGATTTTTGTTGCGATCACAAACAAAACGCACCCAATATTTGTTGGAACCAATTTCTTTGATAGAGACATCTCCAGAGCCTTTCCAAAGCTGCGTAAAGGTTTTAATAAAGCCGTCACGATTGACAAGTTTATTTGTAAGGACTTGAGCGACAAGGCCATAAATAAAATCAACAAAATTGTCTGCAACGTCCGAAGAACCAATAACCAGGCCAACCTGTTCACTTTGCTTGAGAACCAAACTCTCGATATCTACAATAGAGGTAGACATCCCAACACAATAAACCATACAGCAAACAACAAGGAATTCAAAACTGAGAACAAATGAACTAGGCCCCAAAGAATGGGAATTATCACAGTGGTGGCAGACAAAGGGAGAATGGCTCAGTACTGAAACCAAGAGGGCAGATGAGGACAAACAGATAGTATGAAGGCAAGGAGACGCACCATGCAAGGCAGGAGACGAAGAATGATAGTGACTATGACTTCGGGAATTAAGAGAGAGACTGAACGCAATTGGCCAGGAGGCTGAAAGAGATAACCATTAAGAGTGAGAAGACGGCTTTGCAAGAGAGAGAGAGAGAGAGAAAGTGACGTGGATTGATCCTGATGGGACAGCAGCTGAACGCGAGACAAAACCCTAGATAAGACTCATGGCTCTTCTCGCGTAACGAGAGAGCTACTCGGGGTTAGAGGCCAAGTCGAAATAATGCAAAATTATACCCTTATATCTTTGGTGTTCTTATAACATGGCTAAATTAACTATTCACAATAATAATTATTCTTCAAAAACTTAACTATTGAAAGTATACAAGCACAATTATTCAATCTGCGAGATAAGGCTTCCCTAAATTAAGCGTCACTACTATTCTCATAGTATAGGGTCCATTGTGTTCAACCCAAACAAGTGAACCATAAGAAACTATTTGTGTCCCAACTATGTAATTTATGCTCAGAGTATAGCTTTGCTTCTCATATGTCATTTGAAAAACAACTATACTTGGTGAACCCATAACTTCAGAATTGATTGGTATTGTCACTAAAGCACTATAAGTTTTGTTGCCATTTCCTACATTGGTTATAGTACATTAAAAGTATTTCTCTTTCAACATTCCTAAGTCTGCAATATTATATACAACAATAAATGAAGGATAGTTGAGATTAGAAGATGCATTTGAACAATTATAATCGTTATGTCTAACAATGGATCACATTTGGTTTGTTTTAAAACCCGAAGAGCATAATAGATTGATATAATCTTGTTGTGTTGCATCATAAATCAACCCAGAGTCAAGGGCCTGATGCGAGTCAATATAACCTGCTCCCATATCTAATGGCGAAGCAAGATGATGAAGTTTGCCATATATTTTTATTGGGTTTCCCGTATATTATCCAAACGATTTGCAGTGGTCATAATGGTAGACCTAATGGCAGCATGGCTCCATTTTCAATGAACAATTTTCAAAAAGTGCAGCTATCCCAAAAACATGAGAACAAGCTGAAGATGTCCCTGATGTCAAAGTGTACTTATTATAAAGCGGAAAAGCTCCCAAGTGAGCCATAGGTTGGTTTGGAATCCAGCCAACAAGAACATACACACCAGGTGCCATTAGATCTAGCTTCAAAGATATTTGAATAGCTTCGTGAAGGACCTTTTGAAGCAAATATAGGTACAATTGGTGCAGGATTTATGCCAATAATAGTTTTTTGAAACTCTACAGTGACAACATGTTTATCACGAGATTTACATATTGTATAAGATCCATTGCATGTTTTGATGTGACCATGATACAAAAGCAAGGTGTATTTTTTAAGTCAAAATCATCACTAGTAAGTATAGCTCCTTGAATATTTGTTGAGGAAAATTGAAGAGATTTGACCAACAATAGATCCTTCCTTACATATTATGATTTTGTGCTACATCATAGATTAGTGATACATCTTCTACAGAAACATATCCTAGAAATCTAGACCATCCTATAATGTGTAGCCCATTTTCAAGAATCAAAGTTCCAGCAAACCAACGATTAGTGGAACCTACAGTAGCAGTTGTAACCTATGGAATCCCATTATGCATTGTTGCTAAGAGTGGGCCTTGATTCCCAGCTGAACATGCAACACATATGCCTTTTTGTATAGAAAAAAATGAAGCTATTGCTATAGCATTTTCAAACAGTGGTAATCCATAATCATGGAGAGAGATATGTTGAGATTTCAAATATACAAAGCTATGCTCTTGAACAGAGAAGGGAAAACAAGAAGAGGAAAAAGATTGGAGCTAAGAGAGAAAAGAAATCGTTGAGAGGAGATAGAGAGTTTGTTACTGAGCATTAACCATTGCAATGCACACATATTCACTATGATTTCATTCCAACGGAATTATACCTTTTACAAAGAATGAAAACGAAATCCAACCTTGCAATTGTGTCAACAATATGAGCTGTACACTTGGCAAAAAACTAGGACATGTAAGTCCTAATGTGTGATGGCATCTAAGCCTTACATTTGTCTAACTAAGGATTAAACCATAAAACAATTTACATTTCAACATTCCCTTATAAATTGTCAACTATTTTAACTCCTAGTAAACCTCTCAAATAATTGAACTAATATTTAGGAAGAGTTTTTGTGAAAATATCAGCCACTTGTTCTTTAGACTTGCAGTACTTCAAATCCACCACTCCTTCTTATAAAGCATCTCGGATGAAGTGATATATGAAGTTGATATGCTTGGTCTTTTGATGGAAAATGGGATTTTTGGTTATTACAATGGCAGAAGTGTTATTTACCATCAATGAAGTTGCTTATGTATGCAATTCTCCAAAATCCTCTAGCACAAACCTCAACCATATAGCCTGAGTAGTTGCTTCACTTGCATTAACATACTCAGCTTCAGCTGTGGAGAGAGCAACACTATGTTGCTTGACAGATGCCCAAGAAAACACACCACTTCCAAAAGAGAAAGCATATCCTGAAGTGCTCTTCATGTCATCTTAACTTCCACTCCAATCACTATCACAATATCCGATTAGTATAGCCTCATTGCCTTTCTGATACTCAATACCATAGTCTATTGTCCCTTGTATGTACCTTAAGACCCTTTTGGCTGTTCCATAGTGCTTTTTGGTAGGACAATGCATAAACCTTGCCAAAAGACTAGTTGCAAACATTATATCTAGACTTGTAGTAGTTAGGTAAAATAAACTCCCTACAATCTGTCTATATTGATTCTCATATGCAGGTTCATTACCATCATTCTTGCATAACTTCTCACTTGTCACCAAAGGAATACTCACAGGCTTGCATTGGTGTAATCCAAACTTATTCACTAGAGTCAATGCATATTTCTTCTGACTAATGAAAGTGCTATGTTCAGTTTGAATCACTGCCATTCCAAGAAAATGATACAGAAGTCCTAGATCAGTCATTTCATACATTCTCATCATTTCTTACTTGAATTCAGCAGTGAGTTCTTCATCGTTACCTATATACACTATGTCATCAACATAAATTGAGACAATTAGTGTTCCTGAATCTTTCTTAGTCTTGCAGTACAATATGGCCTCACTTGTGCTTCTGACATACCCACAACTAATGAGATAAGCATGAATTTCTTCATACCAGGCCCTTGGTGCATGCTTTAAACCATACAAGGCCTTCTTCAACTTGTATACCTTATCTTCATAGTGTTTAACCACCAAACCTTCAGGCTGATCCACATATACCTCTTCCTTAAGTATACCATTTAGAAACATAGACTTGACATCTAACTGGTATAACTTCCACCCCCTTTGAGCTGCCAAAGCTATGAGAATTCTAATAGTATCAAGTCTGGGTACAGGAGCAAAAGTCTCATTGAAATCGATTCCAGACTTTTGTGCATAGCCTTTGACCACCAACCTAGCTTTGTGCTTCTGTATTGAGCCATCAAGTTTCAACTTGGTTTTGTAAACCCACTTAACACCAATTACAGGTTTCTCACTTGGTGTGTCAACTAGCTCCCAAGTCTCATTCTTATCAATCATTTTCATCTAAGCTTCCATTGCTTGTTGCCAAGCTTTGTCTCTTAAGGCTTCTTGAAAATTTTCTGGCTCAATGATGCTCATATTACATCGAGCATATATCTCCGTTATATCTCTAAGTTTCACAAGAGTAAAACTTGGTGATTCACTTTGTGAGCCAGCATTAGTAGAACCTGAAGTTATCTCAGCTGCTCCAGAGTCATTTCCAATATGAGATTCTAGTGCAGATGAAGTTGTGACTTCATAATCTTCTTCAGTAACACTAGAATGCTCTTTAGAACATATAGGAACTATGACTTGTTCCACATTCTACTGCTCCCAATTTCATAAAGAGCTTTCATAAATAAAAAAATACACTCCTAGAGACTACAATTTTATTAGTATGCAGATTGTAAACTCTGTAACCTTTCTCACATTTGCTGTAGCCAACAAAAATGCACTTGACAGTTGAATCCTCCAGTTTTGATTCCCATTTTGGCCATTTTGGTGGCCTAGCAATCGATCAAACCTCTCATTTATTTGAGCATTTTAGGTTGCTATGGTTTGAGTCATATCTTGCAACCATTGATGGTTGAGTTGGTTTGATGTCTCCATTGCTCAGATGAGCTGTTGGATCTCTAGTGAAGTGGCCGGATTCTGCCTCAAGACTGGTCCTCTATTAGCTTCCTTAACATCTTCGACCACCACATGGTTGGGGTCGATGGCTGTTGCTCGGCCGATGCCGTTTTGGCTTTGTTGTCCATTCATAAGATTTTGTGGCTGAGTGTTCATTGGAAGTGAACCAGCCATACTTGTCTCTGATTCTGAACGAAGTCTAGACTCTTCAAACTCTCGATCTCTTCTAGGATTCCCCCTAGTGGTTACGACCATACAAAACCTGGTGGTCCCACTGGACGTGCCAAATTATGTTTCCCTCTTTTCGGCCGGGTAGGTCGATTGAAGGAGTTTTTAGTCCTTCTTCTTTTAGATTGCGTAGGTGTGCCACCACCAAGCCACTGACTGGCTTGAATGGAAAAGGTTGGATTGTTGTGTTCGCGCTTCTGACTTCTAACCAGCTGATTGATCGGCCAAGCAAGGAACCTCCTCTTGGCCTAGGTTCTTTCACTTCCTCATAGTAGAGGATGGTTAGGTTTTGTATAGGTATTTTAGTATTTTAGAGATTTTTAATGATAATGATGCAAATTAAATTAAAATATGCGATTAAACTTAAAGACGAGAATTGAAGTGCGATAAAGTGAATCAAAGCGATAGATAAACTTAAATTAAACGAAGAACGAAATAAGAACGATATAAATGATAAAGGCAATAAAATAAAGCAATTTGAAATTAAATTAAGCTTAAAGCAAATTCGATAACAATTAACAATAAAGCGATAAAATTGAATCTTAAGACAATGTAATGAAAAATGCAAGAAATTAAACTTACACTAACGAAAGTGAAGAATTGATCTAGTCTACTTGCTTGGAAAATAAAAACCTAGTCTAGGGATAGAAAATTGAAAGACAAAAAGTAGGTTTTTGAGTCTGATGACGGGGTCCTTTGCTCTTTGTCTGGTGTAGTTTATATAGGATCATTCATCAGCCCATGGGCTGGCCATTAAATGGCCAAAGGTCAACTTCATTCAAAATCTTTCCTTGTGTGGCTTCCTAAATTCATGGAGTTGATTTGAATGAGATCATCGGATTGCAAATCTAATCAATTGATTCTCTCCTCCTTAGGAATGTTCCAGATTGACATCACTTTCTTTTGATTGTTTTCCTTAGATGAATCTCGTCACGTGCATGAAAACATCCGAAGATTTTTGGGCCTACTTTCGAAGGCAGAGCTTGGGCCTCCAAGGACTTAGGCCTAACATCTGGTCAGACGATGTGGCTCCTAGAGTCTCTAATTTTGATTGAACATAATCCATCGATGTTGGGTGACTTGGAATTTCAATGAGTCCATCTGCACCATATACATATATATATATATATATAGATATATAAACAAATATATATATATATATAGATATATAAACAAATATATATATATATAGATATATAAACAAATATATATATATATAAACAAATAAATATATGTATAAACAAATATATATATATATATATATAATATATATATATGTATTATATCCATATATTATTATATAGATGGTATAAGGCCATTAAATGGCCATCCAATTTTCATCAAACTTTTTGGATAAAGGTCTCTAGGCCATTTGGCCTTTTGAAGAAGCTCAGCCAAGGTGACGTGACTTCCTGTCCCTCCATATCAAAAAATATATATAAAACAATTACATGTCAAGATGCAAATATCACTATATATATATTTTATATAGAAGGAATCCGTAGGCCACTAGTTGGTCTTTGAATGAAATCCCAACTATCAGACTTCTCTCTGCTCAAGTCGAATCACACAAACCAAGAAACATCCAACCACATCATCCTTCTCAAATTATAATAAATAATAATCAAAGATTTTAAAAAATATCAAACTGACCAGCAGCATGCCTATTTTGGTTCTTCGTTTTTTTTAGAATTGTCCCCACTAGAGATCTGATGACCATTAATAATATCAGAGCAACAGATTGGCAAAGGAGGGCTTAGCTTTTCATCCTTTCTAACCTTCACATCTTAAGCTTTGAAGACGATTCCCACCCAGGATCCTCAAGCATCGAAACTTACTTCAAAAGCTATACCCCAAGTAAAGAACTTGAGCTTTGAAGATATGGGAAGAGGAGCTTCAACTTCTTGACCTGCTATTTCTGATCATGCAAGTGAGTGGTGAGAGAATCTAAACTTCTTGGATCAATTGGCTAAGCATGTATTCCAAACCAAACCTACTTGGTCTTTCATTTATTTAATGCCGTTATAAATAATAATTTCTTTACTTTGCTAGACCTTGGGGATTTGAGTCCCACTTTGACTTGGTTGGAATTGAACCACTCGAGTTGGCTGGAATTGAACCACTCGAGTTGACTGGGATTGAACCACTCGAGTTGGCTGGAACTTGGTGACCACTTGACTTGGCTGGAACTTGGTGACCACATCCAAACAATTATCCAAAGCTCTTGTTGGACACCTGTTTTGAATGTAGACAACAGTATTTACTGTTTCTCCCCATAACTTAAATGGAAGTCTCTTCTCATGCATCATTGCCTTGCTCATTTCAACAATAGTTCTGTTTTTTCTCTCAACAACACCATTTTGCTGAGGTGAGTAAGCCACAGTGAGTTGCCTTTCCATGCTTACATTTTCACAAAATTTTAGAAATTCAAGTGAGGTATACTCTCATCCTCTATCACTTCTAAGCCTTTTGATCTTTTAGCCACTTTGTAGTTCCACCATATATAGCCTTGAACTTCTTGAAAATACCAAATAGTTTAGACTTGTATTGCATGAAATACACCCAACACATTCTAGTGCAATCATTAATAAAAGTCAAGAAATATCTGTTTCCACCAATAGTTGTGGTATGCATTGGCCCACAAACATCTGAGTGGATGAGTTCTAGTGGCACACTTGCTCTCCAAGTCTTCTCTTTTCCAAAAGATTCTCTATGTGCTTTCCTCATTGCACAACCTTGGCAAATTCTCCCTGCATTCCCAATTTATGGCAATCCATAAAGCATTTCTTGTTGTTATAACAATCTCAAACTCTGCATATTGAGATGACCAAACCTCCTATGCCAACACCAAGTAGATTCTTCAACAATTGCCTTCATAGCCACAGAGCTCACATATTTTAGTGAGAATGGAAAACATCTATTCCCTGTCATTGGAATTTTAGCAACCAAGTGTTCCTTTGAGCTGTCATCAAATATCTCCACCACTGAGTTTCTAAAAAACAAAAAATAACCATGTTCCACCATCTAACCAACATTGATCAGATTTTCATCTAGCCCTGGCACAAGCATAATTTCCTTAATGTATCTAGGCCCAAATTAGTGTCAATCACCAAAGTACCTTTACCAGTTGCCTGCACCAAATCTCTAGTGCCCATTTTTACTTTTGCAATGACCTTTGTATCAACATTGATTAGAAAGGATTCATGTGAGGTCATGTGATTGCTGCGAGCACTATCCACATACCATGCATCATTATTTTTCACTACAATAGCAGAATGATAGGCATAAAACATTGTACCTTCTTCCTCCTTATGTGTTGCATAGTTGGTTGTTTGAGCTGGTTTGCCTCTGTAGTCCTTTGCCACATGACCAAACCTATCACATTTGTAGCGTTTAGGCTTACCTTTGAACCAACAAGCACCATAGTGAAGCTCATCACATGTTTTGTAAGGAACCTTTGCCCCTTCAGTCTGATTTTCCTTCTTGGAATTGTTCTCAAACTTTGCATCCCACTTCTTCCATTTATGTGGTTTCCAATTCTTCTTAGATTTTGAACTTTTAGTTTGACCCGTGTTTGGTTGATCCCTAGAATCACACTTAGATCAAAAAAATTTCTTTTCTGTTAATTTCTCAGTGTGCCTTTGCAATCGTTGTTCACGGGATTTCAAAGAGCCTATAACCTCTTGAACTCCTATAGTTTCAGTGTCCTTTGTTTCTTCTATCACTTCAGCAATGGAATCATATTCCCTAGACAAACTAATCAAAAGTTTCTGCACAATCTTTCGATCAACAATCTCTTCACCATATGCTTTCATGTGATTTACAACTCAAGCAACTTAGTTATATAATCAGATAAGGAATCATCCTCTTGCATACGAATGTATTCAAATTTCTCTTTAAGTGCTTATAGTTTAACAAATCTTACCTTCTTATCTCCTCTGAATTCTTGCTGCAAAATTTCCCATATGCTTTTTTGGCAGACTCTTTCAGTACTATTTTGAGAAAAATTTCATCAAAAACTACATTTTGAATCAGTCTCATGCCTTAGCATCTTTTGCAACATTCTATTCTAATATGAGCTTTTGAGCTGCAGTCAGAGCTTCACCATCCTCTTTCTTCACTGGTTGTTCATACCCATTTTCAACCATATCCCAAAGCTTGTGCGATTTGAAGATCGTACACATTTTTATTCTCCAGAAATCATAGTTGCTTCCATTGAAGATGGGAGCACATAGCTCACCCATTCCAGATCCAGCCATGTGAGACTAGAGATAGAGATTATCTCAGTTGGATTGCTACGATTGAACAACACCTAGTCTCAGATCGCAACCTGAGCTCTTGATACCATGTTGAGATTTCAAATATACAAAGCTATGCTCTTGAACGGAGAAGGGAAAACAAGAAGAGGAAAAAGATTGGAGCTGAGAGAGAAAAGAAATAGTTGAGAGGAGAGAGAAAGAGTCTATTACTGAGCATTAACCATTGCAATGCACACACATCCACTATGATTTCATTCCAATGGAATTAAACATTTTACAAAGAATGAAAACGAAATCCAACCTTGCAATTGTGTCAGCAATATGAGCTGTACACTAGGCAAAAAATTAGGACATGTAAGTCCTAATGTGTGATGGCATCTAAGCCTTACATCTGTACAAAGGATTAGACCAGAAAACAATTTACATTTCAACAAGATATTAATCACATCAACACCATCAGCAACAACTTCGTCTATAGCAGCAATAATATCCTAGAAGTAGCTATTTCCACCATCCCAAACAACCTTACACATTTCTAGCATGGCTCTTATCGCAATGCTGCTAGCTGTTCCATGACCGTAACCCAAAAAAGACACTTTATCTACATAATTCCCTACAATGATTGTGGAAACATAAGTCCCATGTCTTGTACTGTCCCTAGCAGAATTCATACATATTTTCTAGGTTTTATTTGAATTTAACAGACCTTTGTTGAAGTACTTGGCTCCAACAAGCTTGAAGTTACAAAGGGAGGAATTGAACTCTTGCCCACAAGATCCCTTCCATTTATATGAAATAGCAGGTTTAGTGCTTATACGATGGTCTTGAAAGCTAGGCTGCTTTGGCCAAATACCAGAGTCAATGACGCCGATGATAACATCTTCACCATATTTTGAGGTGGGGGATTGGACAAGGGAGAGATATTGCTTAGGAGTATAAGTTGTCGCAGATGTAGTAATTCTCTCATGAATAGCATAGATGAATCCTCTATGCTTCTTCAATGCATGTAGTTTATATGACGACAAAACTGCACTGAATCCTTGAAGATCATTCCTGTAAGTGTATAAAATGGACGGTGGTGGTTGATTGTCATTTAGTTTGACAGAGTTTTCAAATTGAAGGGAATCAACAATGGACAAGTACCAAACTATGATGACTAATGTTTGGCATGAGGGAGTTGTCCATAGACACAATGTATGTACTAATTACTATTGATTATGATTTTGTTGCGTGAGTTAAAAGAAACAATGCGAAAAATAAACTTAATGGAATAGGAGTCCTACTAATGAACTTCATTGTGAAAACACTTGCTTGCTTTGATGAATTTGTTTGTGAAAGGCTCTATGACTCCTTCATTCTCGGTTTCTTGGCATCGATGTTCATAGGGTGCTTTTATTGAATTTTACATAAATAAAAAAATATAATAATTGGAAACATTCAAAGAAAGTGAAACGTTTCGAATTCCTTGGTGTTTTATTTACAATCTTTTCATGTTCTTATGAGTACGATGTAGTCTATCATTATCAATAACGTCATATTGAAGCAAGTAAGGTTTCATCTTAATATAGTTATCTTCACCTGTCTTTTCCATATTGTTCATAAGAACTTTGAAAAGCCATTTCTTGAGGGTGCGACTCAAGAAAACGTCATTTCCTGATATTTGAGGAGGCATGATCATTGCCTATCCAAACTGCTAAAGGTTGTAAGAACTTGAATATGTTGAGAGTGTTTATCCCACATTGAAATGTTAAGGGACCTAACCTGGGTTTATAAGGAGTTGGGTTACTCCCTCCATTGCCAATTGGTTTTGGGATGGAACCTCAACTTCCTTCATGGTATCAGAGCAAGGCTTCACATGTTGAGCCTAACGGCCACACGTGCTCCCACGTCACCCAATATGTGTTGTCCACGTATTAGGCTTGAAAGTTCGCCACACGTGCGGGGGCGTGTTGAGAGTGTTTGTCCCACATTGAAATGTTAAGGGACCTAACCTGGGTTTATAAGGAGTTGAGTTACTCCCTCCATTGCCAATTGGTTTTGGGGTGGAACCTCAACTTCCTTCAGAATATTATGTTAAATACATGTCTTTATGAAGTCCACTAGCTCAAACCAATAGTGGCATTGCACAAATTTTTTTAAAAAGAATAATCTAAGCTATCAATTTTCATGCTCTTGTCTTTGTTAAATGCATAATATAAACTAATTCAAAAGGAATGAGATGATTTATATCCAAGCGTGTGTGTGTATATATATATCTGAGATTGTCACACCTCAAGTTTCAAACACAAGAATAACCTGCGTAGTAATTAAAACTCCTTGAGTTGAGCTACAAACCCTTGCTTGCTTTTTGCTAACCAATTTTGAGGTGTAGTACTATAGTGCCATTTATTTCCATGAGTTCTATGTGATGCAAAGTAATCGTTTAGCTAATGTTGTTTATAATTAGAGTCACTCCAAGTCATTCCCATTGAAGTGTTTAGTAACTAAATGAGAATAAAAATGAAATTGATTCTCATTAACCTGTTTACTAAATTGTCAAGAATATCTGAATGAAAACCATTTTTATTACCAAAAGACCCTTTTACGAAAAAAAATTAAATACAACTTACTAGTACAAAATCTTCTAATAATATATAATATATTACATAAACGTACACTTGCAGTACTTGGGTCGGATGAACAACTTGAATCTTTCCCTTAGTAAAAGCTAAAAGAAATTGGAACACAAACATACACACACTAAAAAATGTGGAGAGAGAAATGAAGAAAGGTCGCTTGAAAACTTGCTGCTCCAATATTGCTCCCCCTTCCATCCAACTAGCCTAAGGCTTTTTATAATTGGTTGCCTCTCAAGGCATTGTACCATTCTAATAAAACACATTAAAATGTCTGCCCATTTTTCACAACTTAATAGTTATAATTGACTTAAATAAAAAAAATAAAAAATAGTTATAGTTGACAAAATCAGTATAGCAATTGAATACAAGAATTGGTCAAACAAAACTGACGAAAACGATTTTTTGATTCAAATCCTTGAATGCCAACGACATTGAAAACAATTAAATATGTATGGAATTGCTACACCAAAATTTTAAGAATAAAGCTGCAGAAAAGCCTTTAAAACAAGTCAATAATTATCCCAATTGAAGACTAAAATTGCTCCAACTGAAACTTAAGCAAAAAGCTTTTGAAATCAAAATTAATATATATAATCAGATTAAAAAAAAAATCAATTCTTATAATAAATTTACAAAATAAATTCATTTTAAAATTGTAGTTACACCACGCAAAATCTGGAAACATAAAATAAATAATAAAATAAATTTTGTATTTTGAAAAACTCATAAAAATTCCAACAATCCTCCACATATTTCAAAATACAAAAGATCTCAAGGGAAAGTGAAAATTCAATGCATTTTCACAGAAATGCATTAGGTTGAGCTAGATGTAACTCACAGAAATTTGGTGAAAATAAAATTTTCTATGAACTAATATTTCTTTACGTGAATAAGAGGACTAACCACCCACATTAAACTCTCTTACTCAAGTGTGCTGAAGCAGGTTGGCGCGAATAGGCCGTGCGCCCACCTGGATATTCTTAAGTGCTTTAGAGAACCTGCTTGAGCTCTCATAGGAACCGGCCACACTTCCACACTCATATAGGTGAATCCATCAAGTGTGCACTACAATCAAGCACACCACCCATAAGAGCTATGGTATTCATTAAGAATATAAATTCAACCTCAACGTTGCAGTATTGCACTCTCTAGATCTACACCATAGGGAGGGAATCTCGGGAATATAAATTTGATAGTGCATGCCTGATCACCCAATGACTTGTTCTTACCCATAATATGAACCTACTCCCTAGGATCTCTATTTACATAGGTTGGATTACCACTGTTGACAACTGATACAAGCATAAATCCCCATCCCTCTCGATGTAATACTCACTAGCTTTCGGCATAGTGGTTTTGCCAAAGGATCCATCAAGTTCATCTCTGATTTCACAAAATCTAGGGATATCACCCTTTTCTGAAGTAGCTGCCTCACAATATATAGTCTCAAGCGTATATGCTTGTTTTCCCCATTATAATATCTATTTGAGCTCGGGCTATTGCAGCCTGAATATCACAATGCATAGACATAGACGAAGCTGGTCTCTTCCATAAACGGATATCTAATATGATGTTCTCATAATGCATAGACACTTCATAGTTGGTCTCTTCCATTAAGGGATATAGATGATGTGATTATTAATTGCAAGTGGACAATATCGCTCAAATTAATATAGTAGTAAGTAGAGTATCGTTCTAATATGGATCAAGTTAACCTATTAAATACTAGAGTGATTTATTTATAATTATATTTAAATTAAACGAAAAGAGAATTATGATGACTAAAATCTAATTAAGCAAGTAAAATAAATTGAGATAAAGTAAATAATGTAAAAGATGAAAACAAGGATGATAAAGCACTAGGGCACCGATTTCACCTCGCTAATCCCAGCCAAATCCTTCTAACTTGTTAATTCTAATTTCCTAACATGTTGATAATCATTTTCCCTTACCTCACCAATACTCTTTTCCGAGTTATATTAGTTGTATTCCTTACCATCAACCCACTCTATTCCTAGTTATGGATTTAGATAGCTAAGAACCCATTAAGATTTGTGGAAAACAATAAAGATTACACAAACCCCGAGTTGGCTATGTAATTTATGGTACTTTACTAAAAACTTTTTATTAGGAATCTCCTTCCGGTCTCAACCTAATTCTTCCAATCATGCAATTAGTGGCCAATTAATTGAAAACATCAAGAACGGTAACAAGCACTCAACATGTATAGATAAATAAAATTAACAATATCAAAGAATTTGAGTATTCATAGCTAGGCTACATCGTATCCCTAGTAAAAGAAATTAGTTCATGAAGGACTTATTGAGAATCATGATGGTTGATGAAGACATGGAAGATACCGAATTCTCCAAGTAGAATGCCAAGGTTGCGCAAGCTTTCTTAGTATTCTCCTTTGGATATTTCGGCTATGAGTATGAATATGTAGGATGATGGATCCCTTGAACAATGACCTAAACTCTCTATTTATAATACTCCTACAAATCTTACATATCTAAGGTATAATTATAATTGTTATAAAAGTAGGATTCCTTCTAAAATAGGGTCTTCTTTATTTCTCCTTGTTTGACTTGTTAAGACTTGAAACATCTTGAACTAGGAAACTTGACAACAATCTTTGCAACAAAAGGAATGACTTGGCTTCTGGACTTGATTAATCTTCAGTCTTCTTCTTCTTGCCTATTTTTGCCTCAATTTCTCATATTTCGCAATTCCTTCACAAATCTCACAAAACTAATTAAACAACCAATTTAACCCAAGAAAATTAACAAATAAATAAGTAAAGGAAGCATAAAATACATATATATATAAATATATACTTATCAATAGCCAAGAAGTTTTTTAAGTTACTTGGCTTCAAATTCATCTTGCATGTCTGTTTGAAATATTTTCTACAACATCGTATAAAATAATTACTAGATTTCATCTCAATATAATTAGAGATCTCATATGCATTGGTATACATTAAATTATAATGGAAATCCATTATATATCAAATCTTATGATCAAGAGAACCTCCCAATTCTTTGATACTCAGATATACCAATGGTCTATAAAACTTTGAGTGCACCCGCTGAACTTCTCAAATATTTTGGTACTCAGATATCATATATATAGTACATAAATGTCATAGACGGTCTATGACATTTATCTATATATATATATATATGATATCAATTTGGTGCTTTTTCTTTAGTAAAAGGTAGCCATCGGACCCTCTAGCTTCCACTTTTGTTTCTTGTATAAATAGTAATAAGGCATTAGTTGTACACTTAATGACTCCTCGTGGTCCTTCTATTACGCGCAGAACTATCTGAAGACCAAGACTCGGTTCCAATCCACAGTCATGGTTCTACTTTTTATTTTCATTTTTAATCAACTTGTTTTGGGTCAACCTTGGCATCCTTCGTTGCATGTTGACTTTTAAATTCAGTGGGCATGATGAGGAAACTACCTTCCTAGTAGTTTTCTCATTTTTCATTTTATATGTTCTTGACTTTTCTGAGACTATATAGCTTCTTAGTTAGGTAAGTAGGAGGGGGATAATTTTCTCAATTGATCCATGTGATAAAGGTTGTTCTCGAGTGCAAGGGGCTTGTTGGATTTAGAACCCTAAATCCTATATTGCTTTATGAAAACTTTTTTTAAAGGTCATTTCCTCTTGAGAAAAGCAATAATGTATTAAACTAAAACATACTATATGGATGTTAGAACTCAAAATACAGAACCTTGTCTGGGAGAGCAATTACTCCAAACCACTACACTAGTGGGTACTTTGCTGCTTTATACAAACTTTAAAGGGAGTTTCACTAAAACACCCAAAATGGAGGTTGAAATTATAAAAAAACCCAACACCCAAAACACTTTATAAACACACCCAAAACCCATCATTACACACACTCAAAACCCATTTATAAACACACCCAAAAAGTTGACTTTGTGGTTGATTTTGGGTGTGTTTCTATGTTTAAATAGTACTTGGGTTTTTTTATAAATACATGTCTAGGATTGGGTTTATTTATAAATTTGTAAACTTTAAATCTCCCGACGGGATAAAAAAAAAAAAAAAAAAAAAAAAAAAAATTAATTATTAATTATCATGTGTGATAATTAACATATCAGCTTTTCTGCGTATTGATTGAGTGACTCTTATAATATAAATCCATCAATTACCAATGCATAGTCGTTGAAGCACGAAAGCAAATGTAATTTGCAGTACGAAAGCTACTCTTTCCTAAGTACAATTAGTAAAACTATTACCCACACAACGTTTATTTTATTCATAAGGGCAAACATTTGGACCGTCAGATCCAAAGACAAAATAAGATATAGCTGTCTCCTAAAACCTTATTTTAACTCCAAAAGGTAATTACTTATGAGATACTAGCTAGTCGTACTTGCAACACACTAATCATTTGTCTTGGACGATGGAGGGTAATTTGATCCATCCATAATCAGTTGCTATAGATATGATTCTATTCCATGGAGAAGTACTTCCTAGCTGTCCATGTGACGGCGCTGCCTTTGGTGGCGGGGGCGGGGATCGAGTGTTTCCATAATCACTTCCTATCAATAATTTCAGTGACGGCGGAGGTGACCTTGGCTTCCTTACACAATGCTCAGTTACCGTAGATATGATTCTATTGCATGGAGAAGTACCACTTCCAAGCTGTATATGTGGCGGTGCTGGCTTCGGCGAAGGCGGGGGGGGATCGAGCTCTTTCGTAGCTTGTTCCTTGACCTATTGGTTTTGTACGTGGTGGAGCTGGTGGTGGAGAAGCTGTGGAACCAATTGTAGATTGATGGGTTGGAGGAGATGATGATGGGGATGGTGGTGGGCTCGGAGGTTTCCTTCCATAAATGGTTATAATCAAGGCCAACTTTCCTCCTGCACTCTCTGTGGAACAAGAAAATGCATGGATCAGCTAATATATTTACTAGTTGGGCTTGGGAGATACACAAATAATGTACAAGTTTGGAAAATAAGAAAATAATAAAGCAAACTAATCATGCATATCATCAACTTTTCACATAACCAAAGAAACTTGCTCACAGTAACACAATTTTGGTAAAGTTGCTAAAAAGTAAAACAAAACATAATCATGAACCATAATTGGAAGAAGTTCAAAGAGAAGCAGGAATAAAATAGAAATATTTCCCTGAAAGACAAGAATTAATAAAACAAAATAATCATCCGATGTTGGTTAGGGCAGTTAGTCAGGGTTGTGACTCAAATTCAAATTCCCTCTTCGTAAATTAGATTAATGTAGAGTAATTCAGATTATAGCTAGAAAAAAAAAAAAAAAAAAAAAAAAAAAAAAAAAAAAAAAAAAAAAGCAAAATGCAATGAACATGTACTGGCTGTAAAGAAATTCATTACCTGATAAGATTCTGGCATGAGCAGGAACAAGAATAACTGGGAGAAATGCAAAGAGAAGCAAGAGAACATTCATGATTGTATCTAGCTAGATTCAAATGGCTGATGATAAGAATGTATGACATGAAAAGGCATATTTATAGTATCAAAGTGCTTTGGTTGTCATCACTGTTGAGTCAAAGCTTCTGCTTTTGTTTTTAGAAAATAAATGAAGCATGCAATTATTCACTTCCGATATCCTTAGTGCGTGGTCCTAGTCCGAACAGAATCCAAGAAAACCACCCGGTTTTCTATCCAATCAGGTTTTTTTTTTTTCTTTTTTTTTTTTTTTTTTTTTTTTTTTTTTAGTTTTACTTAGTGACTTTGTGGTCATTATTTTGGGTTTCAATCGAGCGACGTGCATATGGACCATACAAAGCAATAATGCTGTGGAATTTATATTCAAAAGCTAAATTAGTAAAGTAAGTGGTAGTCATTTTCTGAATTTACCCATGTGGGAAAATATCATCCATGCATACAAATTTCAATCCATCAGATTGAAGGGTCGGTTCCTGATTAGCTGTTGTTTAATTAGTAAGTGTCTATTTAGTATCCTATTTGGATCCAATTTTATAAACTCAAAAATAAATTTTTAAAGCTTAAAAAACCTGTTTAATAGGCACTTTTTAAAAACTCAAAAACACCCCATTATTGAAAAAATAAAAGAGGTTTTAGACTCTCTCTCTCTCTCTCTCTCTCTCTCTCTCTCTCTCTCTCTCTCTCTCTCGTTTGTCTTTTTTTTAGATCTTAAAAAATAATTTGGAGTTCAAATACCAAACAAGTTTTTAGATCATAAATTCACTATTTGAAAACTCATCTTTTTAAAAAGAATCATATTTTTGAGTTTAATTTTGTTGAGTAGAATACCAAATGTGGCCTAATTATATATATATATATATATATTTTTGAGTCATTTTAGATTTTCATCGAAGATGATTTTATTTATTTATTTATTAAGTCCATGTGACTAAGCTGTGACCTCAAAATGCTAAGTAAATTTAACAGCAAAAATATTCAATCAAATGCCCGGCCGACCTGAGGACCACTAACAGCTTTTTGAACAGTGGCCATAGTTTTCAAGTTTTAGCCTTAAAATGAGTTTCGAGGAAATGAACCACACCCTACTCTGGACTCCGCACGGAAGGAGCGACCAATGGCATTCTGGCACATGATGTGAATGCCACAACTTTTTGCCACTTTGTCCGGGTCATGTTTTCAACCTTTTTCACTCTCAGTCTCCATGTCATCTCACCTGTTTGAACACACCGTCCAAGTTTCTTAGAATTCAAGTTGGGTACGTTTTAGTAGAAACACAAAGTGAGATCTTGTTTCTCTTCATCTTTGATGTCCAATGGCTAGGGTTTTATTTACATCAATTTGTGCGTCAAGAACAAAGCAATATGGTAAGTCAATTTTCTTCCCTTCTTTTTTTACACACTTCCATGCATAATCTAAGAACTATAAATTCATCTGTTTCACAATAGTATTTTTAATAGTAAATTTGGCTTACACCCTTCAAATTCAATTTGCCGTACCTAAAACCCTTCACTTTTTGTTCCTATAAATAATACCCAATTTGTATAAGTAAAAACCCATGACTAGGATCTAACTCAGCAAGTTACCTAATTAAGCATAAAATCTGATTTATTGTACTTTTCATATTCCAAAAATACCCCCAACTAAGCCATTATTGCATTTTGTATATTAATGTAGGAATCAATATGGAAATAGTTTTTAATTGGATTGTATATAATGACAGATGTTGAATTTGGAAAGATCTCCAAATGGTTGTAATGGATGTAAGAATTAATTTTGAAACATTTTAAAAAAATTTAACAATAAATTCAAATTTTGGGTAATCGGTTTGTTTAATAAAATGTTTATGTTATTTTCTTTTTATGAATTATACATGACTAATAATCCACTTTATAATTGTTTATGAATAAAACTGTACATACTGATTATGTTGAAAAAATAATGTACCTATTACTTGTTTGTTTTATGAAAAATATAATTTACCTAGTATGAAAAGTGTACATAATTATCTATTCCAATATACCTACATTATATGACATCCAATATACCTACATTAATTTTAATGTACTTACAATTAGGATTTAGGTATTATATGTCATCCAATGTACCTACCATTTGAATAATATACCTACTACGAATAAAGTACCTATTATTTATCTAATTAATGTACCTATTTTTTTCTATAAATAATACAGCCTTTTTTTCTCTGAATAAAGTACTTATTATTTGTTTTATTAAAAGCAATTTTTTTAAATGAACCTATTTTTCTCTCCAAATAACGTACCTATTTTTCCTCTCCAAATAATGTACCTATACACATTTACAGGTATATTGTAAAATAATTTACATGTGGGTAAATAATGTACCTATATTTAATATAAATTATTGTGTACCTATTTTTAATTATGAAAAATATATGCAATTACAAAGTACTGACTTTGTTTTTTTTTTTTTTTTTTTTTTTTTTTATATAAATATATTTTATATGTATATATTTATATTATATTTTTCATAGGTACATTATTGGATATGTAATTTACAGATTTTTTTGTTTGTTTGCAATTTTAGTGGGCGAGATGTGAGAGGGAATGACAACTAAAAGAAATGGGGTGATTGATATGCTATTAATAGGGAGTATATTAATTACAATTATGGCAGTTAATGAAATGCTTGAAATAAAATTATAAATAAAATATGAAGTTTAGTGGCAACGATGTAAAAACATAGAAATACTACGACCTCTTATATCATACTGGTAATTTAAATTTGAAATTGGGTTTTACCCAAAGATTTATAGAGTGATGGGTATATGTCTAGGAAATAGAAAATGTAGGGGTCTATATTGGACAAGCCCTATTTTTAATTCAAAAAATTTAGGCAAATAAAGATTTTATTTTTCACTCGCCTATTGCCAACCATGGCGACACTGGAGGTTAGGCGAAACTAGTAGGCTTGGTCAATTATAGAGAAGTTCAGAGGGCTAAGAGACTTGGTCAGGACGTTTTGATTGACGGCTTGTGTTAATAATATTATTGGATGGTTGGTTTACCATGGTGTGCCATGCGCACATGCTGTGATCAGTTTGACTTCCAGAAGGTCTCCCCGCCATGCATATTGTAAAGACAGAAGGTGAAGAAACTTAATTATATAATGTTTAGGGTTTAATAAGAAAAGATATGACATATTGTAGAAAGACCTAAGTCGTCCCTCGAAAGCGAAGTTACTTGGATTAAAATATTCTCAATTTGACATGACCATGGATTAAGATACCAAGGATTTGGCACTTTCCCATTACACAGTTCATTATTCTCAAAATCTTCTCATCTAAGGGTGTTCATTTGGTTACGGCTATCAATTGGTGTTCAAACCCAAGTTCATTAGGTTACTTCTATCATTAGGATTTGGCACTTCATTCTTTCATTACCTTTCTGTTCCAATATATATACATGTTTATGCTCTTTTTTGAAGAGGGTCAACTTAGAGAAAAGGGGTTTGTCTTCAGCAGTGGAGAAGGTGAGGATCTTCAATAAGGGTAAGCCTGCAGAAGACAAAGTAGGAGAAGCAGTCGTTAAGCTTCGGACACCGGTGTGGTGCCGGCCGAAGGCTCTTCGATGCCTAAGTCAGCTAAGAGTAGTAACTTTAGCAGAGTAACAGTAAAAGGTAAGAAAGTAGTTACCCTTTTTACTAGGGTACTGTTCCCTATTTATAGGGAAGTGAAAGTGGGAGGTTTGTGTAGATTTCTGATGTGGGACTTTATGCAAGTCGCCGTGGTGGTAACACGTGTCATGGAGATTAGGTTTGGTAGTTTGAGAGCTTCGGAAGGTGTCTGGCACTTTGGAAGAGTGTCTTCCTTCGACATGGGAGAAAGCGTGTTTGCCTTGGTGCTAGTCGTTTTGAGGCTGGATATGCTCGGTTGATTATGGTGTAAACAATACACACTACAAAAAAAATAAAATAAAAATAAAAAATAAAAAAATGCTTTATTGTTCTTGTGCAAATTCATTATTGATTTCTTTAAGATGTATATTTCTAGAGGAAATTGATATTGTTGATGCTTGGTTTTAACACCAGCAATTTAGAGTACGCCCAAGCCCTTTTCGGCCCAACCTTCCTCAAGGATGGTCCTTTTGGCTTCAAGAATTTGCTTATGTAAGACTCTTTTTCCTTGCCTTCTTGGGCAGTAGCGTGGTGCCGTAGATGATGGATGTTAACTTCCTGAAGAAGAAGACAAAAATGTCACTGAAGGTGGTGATGGGGTTACCAAAAACCCTCCGATGGCTACATCAAATCTTTCCCAATAGAAGGATTGAAAATGTTGTACTTGAAATTGGTACTTAGGTGACGAGAGGTAAATTTAAAGATATTCAAACCAGACACAACAAACTTCACACACTTTAGACCTTGACAAAATACTCTTATGACTAGTCAACTGTCAGTCATGAATTACCACAACCAAGAACATACACAGAGCATACCAAGTTGTACCTGCAGGCCTAGAGAATTACTAGTGACAACCTAGACACTCAGAAAACCCGTCAATCTAGGCATCCTCAACAACTATGGTGAAAGTGTGTGAAGACATCATAATCAAGTAAACAACAAACAGTAGAAAATTATGACTAATCAACTGCACGAACACACACCCAGAAATACATGAACATCATGCAATGACTAGTCAACTGTCAAGAACACAAACCCATAAAATTACAGAGATGCAAACCAGAAATTGTTCACCCAGAAACCCGCCATTGGAAAAAACTGGGGGTCATCAACCAACCAGGTAATCCACTAAGCAAAAAGATTCTTACAAGGAAACACTAGTAAGCTCAAAAAATCCTAGGTTTATTTAGGAAGATGAGCTATACCTCCTTTGTGCAATCTTCTTCTCCAGCTTAGCAAAAACCAGCAGCTTAGTCTTTCATGAGAATGACAGCTCCTTCTTCAACTCTTTCATCCCATGGTACCAGCTGCCAACTCCAACTCAGAAAAAAATGAAATTTGGATTCAAGGAGTAAATGACCAATTTCTTCAAGAAACCATACTCTTGAAGAAATCAATCTTGAATTTGACCTAGATATATATAAGAGAGTGTTTGATCTAGTAAGATGAGGTTTTCATATTTCAATTGTAGTTTTCGAAAAATCAATTTTGAAAACTCAAAGATGAAAAATATGAAGGTTCACTCTTGTGGAAGAAGAAGAGAAAGTTTTCTAAGAAGCTTTCCAAAACTCACCCACAAAAGAGATGGCTGCCAAATGAGGAATTTTTTGGCTTTTACCCAAAAATTCATAGGTCAGAATAGTACACATGGCTGCTGAGAATTTTTCAGAATAGGACAAAAAATGATTGAGTAGGGTCCAACTGGAAACAATGAGCTCGAAATCCTAACACTACAAAAGTTGACTAGTCATACGAAAGAAAGATGACTAGTCATAATTTTCAGGAATTTAGTTAATGCAATGTAATGCAATGCAAAACTTACCTTTGTCAAATACATTGTTGTCCATCATAATGCAGCCAGATAAGAACACCTAGAGATGTAATTCTTAATCTAAACTAGAGCTTGAGAAAATACAACGATTGTTAAGGGAAGCCAAAAGAAAATTACAAAATCCTACACTTACACTTAAGTCTGAAGAGAGTTTTCTACTTAAGTCTGGAGAGTTCAAGTTGCTTATTTTGGTGAAAGGACTCCTTTTTATAATGGGAAGGAGGAACCTTCTTTTTGTTATCTTCCATCGATGTGAGACTACTGGACTCCTGAGGACATGGCATCCTTATATTGGGTGATTGGTAGGATCCTGGCACGTGATTGTTTCCGCTACGGGATCAAGCCTCGTGACCCTCGCTACCAATGTTTGGGCCCTTGTAGAGGCTCAAAACATGGTCTGATGCATGGGGCCTTGGCGCATGGTAGTTGAATGGTGTAGAGAATTATATTTGATTCAATAAGGAAGAGCCATTACATATATACACAATTTACAGCAGCTAATAAGGAAATAATTTAATGCGATGTGAAGATCCTAAGTCAAATATACATACTAGGAAATGAAATCAATTACAGAATATTGTTTGGGAAAATGACGTTTAGGAGGAGATCACAGTCTCATCATCAGAAGAAGATTGAGAAGATTGAGCTTCCGTTATACGCCCCTGCATGGAACAATGAAGGAAGAAGAGCTGGTGACAAAGCGGCTTCGTTAACGCATCAGCTAATTGATCAATGGTAGAAACATGAGCAACCTTGAAAAGTCCTTGAGTAACAAGATCATGGACAAAATGAAGATCAATGGCGATGTGTTTCATGTGGGAATGCATAACAGGATTTGAAAAAAAAAAAAAAAAAAAAAAAAATGAACACAATATCGTTAATGCAACAGGAGGAGCCAGAAACGAGACCTTAATTCTCAAAGTAAGTTTTGCAGCCAAGAGAGCTCTGCGGTGAAGGCAGTGGCACGATACTCAGCCTCGGTGGAGGAGCGAGCAACGGATCTTTGTTTGCGGGAACTCCTAGAAATCAAATTTCCACCAAGAAAGATTGTGTAAGCAGTGGTGGTATAACTCGTCCACGTGTTATAATACAAGTTAGGGGGTACAAGATCCAACCCCAATCGACCAATCCAATCCAATCCAATTTTAATAAGTTTCGATGATTTGGCGGATTGGATTGGATCCATAATTTTCAAAACCGACATGATTGGATCGGATGATGTATTTGCTTATTTTTCTCTTGTAGGTATTTGTAGTTGAAAACGTTATCAGTGTAAGTCATTTAATGGAGTTATGTTTAATATATTATAGAATCAAAACAATTTTATCTAGTATTTTATTTATATTTTACATTGACGTCTATTAATATGTTTCATTAGATTAAACCTAAGGATAAATGTTTAATATTTCATTATTGTCTTTTTCCATTATCAAAACTGATCATCCAATCCAATCCAATATCAATTGGATCGGATTTAAAAATCTAACATGAGTGGATTAGATTGAAAAAATCACAATCCAATCTATATTGGATCGGATGTGGATTGACTAAATTGTATTGATTTCGAACCGACATACACCCCTAATACAAGTGAATATTTATTGATACTATATTCTAAAAGTGAGAAATATCAACCTAGTGATTGATTCATATTATAACGCGTGAACAAGTTATACTACGTAGCCTATACTATGACACCATATGGGTAAGCTTAAGGATTTTCTCAATGCCCGCATCATCTCCCTTAGCCACTTCGGGTCGTCTCTGCTCTCTCTCCTCTCCTCTCTCATCTCTCATCTCTCATCTCTCTTGTTCTCTCATCTCTTCTCTTTTATGATTTTCTTTTTAAAAAACTGATTTCTCTATTTGTTATCCATATTTTTCTGGGTTAGATATTGAGTTCTGTAGTTTTTTGGGTTTGATTTCGTTTGATACCTTTCATTGAAGATCTTCAGATCTGTTCCCATCCAGAATTTGTTGTTTTTTTTTGAATGTTGTTTTTAGTTTGTATTTTCTATTATTTGAAAGTTATACTGTAGATTTTTTTCTTTTGTTTCAAATTACCATTTTGGTTTTGGTCTACAATCTTTTCTCTTGTATAATAAAAAAGATAGATTTTCTTATGATAGAAAAAGAATGACCTTTTTCCTTTTTCTGATAAAAAATATATGAATTTTGGGGGTTTACTATCTTGATATTGCTCCAGTGTGGGTTGATTCCTTTATGCTAGATGATCTGCTTGGTATAGTAGAGCTTGTCTTGTGGGTACTGGGGCTGCTTAGTTTGTCTGTTGTTGGGGTTTACCCCTTTTTCTGCCAAAAAACAGATGAAGTTTATTTGATAAAGAGAAATTTTAGATTAGAAAAAAAAAGGATACTGAAAAAAGAGAAAGAAAGATTTTGAAGGAAAAAAAAGTAAGGCATTGATGCAAAAAGTTGGAATTTTGCATTTGATTATTGTTAAATAAAAAATTAATATTTATTACAAAATTGTTAATTTTAGTATGTTGTTTGGTGCAAAAATGAATAGCACTGGACTCAAAGCCTAGCCATTCTAAGCTAGCCCAATCCAATACTTCAAAGTCCATCATAACCAGTCCAAGCCAACCCACCAAAAGGGGCCTTAGGTTTTTGTGGCAGATTGGGCTAGAGACCCTAATACTCGCAGATCCACCACAGGCTATATTGTTTTTCTTAGTCATAATCCCATGTCTTGTTCTTCAAAGAAGCAGGTTTCAGTTTCTTGTAGCTCCATTGAAGCCGAGTATCATGCTCTTGCTCATTGTGCTGCAGAGAATTCCTCGATTTGACAAGTTTTATGTGACCTGCATATGTTCATTCCAAAAGCTCCAGTCCTGCGTAGTGATAACTTATCAACATTACCTCTTTAGTGCTAATCATGTGCTTCACTCACGTATTAAGTATATGGAAATAGATTTTCATTTCCTTTGTGAGAAAGTTTAGAACCAGGGGCGTTCCTAGCCTATGGCGGGCTCGACTCATACCCGACTCAAATGTTTGTTAAAAAAATATTACCTACACTACATAGTCTAGCCCACTTAAATTAAACCTATACAAACCTTTTTCTTTACTTTCTTTTCATTCTCTCCTCTCTCTTTTTTTCCGTTCTTTTCCTTCTCTTTTCTCTCCCTCTCTTTTTTTTTCTTTCTTTTCCTTCTCTCATCTCTCCTCTCTCTTCTTTTTTGGTTCTTTTCCTTCTATCTTCTCTCATTTCTCTCTTTCTTTTTTCTTTCTTCTCCTTCTCTCTTCTCCTCCTCTTTTTTTTTCTTTTCTAATTAAATTAAAAATTATGATTATTACTTTTTTTTTGTCTTGCACAAAACCCAAGCCACCCTATAATTTTTTTTGTCTCGCAAAAAGACAGCTATTTCAGAAATTACGAAACATGATGAGCTTGAGGTGGACAACCATAAATTATGGGCTTTGGAGGTCGAGGTGGAAAGCCAGAAACGGGTGTCATAATGAACGTCTATAAAAGGAAACAAAAGGAGAAAGGAGGTCACAACTCATAAAGAAAAAACCCTAGCTCCGCCAATTTTATTCTTTCCCATTTCTCTTAATATAAACCTAGCTCTACCAACCCAGAAATAAAATAGCCTCTTCATTCCCATTTTCTCTTTATTTTGAATAAAATAGCCTCTTCATAATGAGATCTTTATTCCTTCCCGATCGGCTTTCAAATCCTGAAATTTCCATTATTCAGAATAAAGATCTTGTTGTTCAATATGTTCCTACTGATGAACAAGTTGCCGACATTCTCACCAAAGGTCTCATATTCCCATTTTTGTCTCCCCTAGCTGCCATTAGGCCATATCCAAGGACCTAAACCCAAAATATTGCCCAAAACTTCTCCAAACTCGAGAAAATGAAGGACCCAAAATTTGGGGAAAACCAAATTTGGACCCAAATATGGGTTCAAGTATTGCCTGGACCCAATACTATTCAATGGAGCCCACTACACCTAAAACAGCCTCATGTGCACAACATCTAACGTGGGCCTAGCTGACCTGCTGTGTTGTTGCTGTTTGTCTGCTTGTCCAGCCACTTGTCAAGCTGATGTGAAGCTGCCGTTGGAATCCAACAGCAACAATTGAATTTGGTTTTTATTTATTTATTATTTTTTAAAATATGCTAAATGTAACTTAAATCAACGATCTATATTAAATCTAAACTATTTTAATGGTAAAAAAAAAAAGATCCAATGGCTGAAATTTAAATCCAATGGTCAAAAAAATATTTTAAATTAACCTAGGTCAAATTATATTTGTGGAATTTCAATTTTTTTAGGTCAAATTGTTCAAAAAATTTAATTATGAAGTTATTTAAAAAGATTGAATGAAGAAAAGTTATCCATGAAAAAATTTAAAAAAAATTAGACTTAAACCATTCTTAAACAATTTAATAAAGTTGTGGACTTAAAATTTGAGTCCGGAGGTTGGGAGAAAAAACGATTTGAGTCCAGGCAAAACGCAAGTAGTTACTTTTTGAAGGGGAAAAATTTGGGTTTAGCCCCTCATGGATTAGAGAAGGCCTTAAGGGAGGATGCTAACAGTATGCTGAGGTGTCCAATTAGTTAATGAGATGGCAAGTCTGTTAGCTTCACGTGTTAATTAGCATGTTGGTTAAGTTGTTCACGTGCTTTTTAGCATGATTAGTTGGACTTTTAGCATGTGTAGCTTAGTGCAATGTAGGTTTAGTTAGCTATATAAGTCTTGGTTAAGATCATTTTCATTCATTGCGTAAAAAAAAATTCAGAGAAATATATAGAACTTTACTTTCTTATTCTTCTCTCTCTAAAACAAAACCTAGATTACTCTCTTTCGACCTGGTTAACAGAAAGAATATTCCGTATATGAGGAAGGAGGAACTGATCTTCACAGCACGGGGACATGTTCATGAATGGCATTAGCATGCAAACTGAAACTGGATGATTAAGCTAAACATGATTCTAATTAAAGTTAATTAGAAACGAGCTTAGTCCTTATTCTAATTAAAGCAGCAAATACATAATAGAAGGTGTACGGCCCACCCTCATCAACTATGAACGGCTTGATTTTTGATGTTCAAAATGAAGCCACATCGGACACTCGCAGACTACCACCACCAGTTACAATACCATGGTACTTCGGTGGCCCAGGAGAGGGTCCAGGTGGAGGTCCTGGGTATGGAGATGGAGGAGGATAATGGGGTGGTGGCGGCGATTTGAGTGGACGCGGATGAGAATTTTCCGTACAAGAAGGATCATCAACTGTTGTATGATGGGACAAGGGAGCAGCAGAGGTTGAGGACCTTCCAACTATGATTATCCTTGTGGATCGATCCCTTGGATTAGTTCCTGCAACGTGGACACATGTAAATGCAGATCAGTAGATAATTTTAGTTGATGGTTTCTAGATTAAAATAGATTGCCAGTGTAAACGGAATGTTCTTTAATTTTTGTTTTTCTGGATGTAGACGCCCTTAGACCTGCCTGTTATTTTCTAATTTGCTTCGACTCATACCAGTTTTGATCAATCATTAAGTTAAGGTGTAGAACTTTTTAAGTTTTAAATCTCGAGAGCTTTAACCTAAAATTTATGTTATAACTTAAAATCTGTCAGTCCATGGGAAATAGTGAAAATCAGAGCTCATATTGATCAGGTATTGTGTATCAATATTTGGCTATTAGTTAATTTCTTTATTTTTGCTTTTAAATGACTCTCAAGAACGACCCATTTTGAGGAACTCAATCTGCTGCTCACAAGTCAACTTAGTTGCTTGCCCCTTTATATCTACCTCAGCCCCTTATGTGTGGTATTTTATCAAACATGTTGCCCCCACACTCAAACAAATCAACATAAAATTACTAAGCAAGTTCATGGTGGAGAAAAGGCAGTGAGGGCAATGGCTTTCAATGGCCCCTTGCTGAAATTGGTACTAGGTGAAGAAGGGTAAATTAAAGGCTACTTTAGACATCTACCAACTACACGAATCTTAACTTAACTTGAGATCAATATGACTAGTCAACTATTAGTTATAAACTAGCAACAATCACACACACAGACGAAACAACCAATACCTGCAAGCCTAGAAGATCACTAGTGACAACTTAGGCACTCAGAAGGACCCGTCAATCTAAGCATCCATGTGCTAGCAACAACTAAGGTGAGTATTGTGTGTGAATACATCAAGATCAAATACATATATAGCAACATTCAGATGATGACTAGTCAACAGGAAGAACACAACACCAGAAAAACATGAACAACAAACCCATAAAAATGTTCACCCAGAAACCCACCGTTGGGAAAAACTGGAAGTCATCATCCGACTAGGTAATCCACTAAGCAAAGAAGATTCTTACAGAGAAATCACAATCAAGCTCAAGGAAACCGAGATCTATTTAGGAAATGAGCTATACCTCCTCCATGCAATCTTCTTTTCAAAACTTAGCAAAGCTTGCAACTAGTTCTTCATGGCAATGGCAGCTTCCCTCCTCAGCTCATTCATCTCATAGCACTAGCTCACACAGCTCAACTCCAAATAAGAACACGAAATTTGGATTCAAAATGAAATGATCAATTTCTTCAAGAAACCATTCTTGAAGAAATCAATCTAGAATCTAACCTAGATCTATTTGAAAATATGTTTGATTTAGCTAGATGCAGATTTCATCTTTCAAAGCAGTTTTCAAAATCAATTTGAAAAACTCATTTATGAAAAGATGGAGAAATCACTCCAAAGGAAAGGAGAGCAAAGGAGGAGAAACTCACAACCTCTCAAAAACACATTTCCTGAAGTGACAGTTCCAAAAGGAATGAAGGGACCATTTACCCAAAAATGTTAGGTATGAAACAGATAGATGGCAACAGATAAAATTCGTTAATTGGAAAACAAAATGAGCTGGCAAACCTCATGATGCACAAAAGATGACTAGTCAAACACATACAAGTTGACTAGTCATAACCTAATGCATTCTAATGAATGTAATGCAAGATTTACCTTTGGCATCCCTTGATTATGTTGAGCCATTGAAGAACACAACCAAAGCAAAACAACTAGGTACCAATTTAACCTAGTCTAATAACCTTGAGCTTGAGAAATACATTACATGTCCTATTACAAAGTTGGCAAGGAAAGCTAAAAGTATACTAGCTAGAATACAACTCAACATAACACATGCAAGTGACTAGTCATAACCTAATGCAATCTAATGAATGTAATGCAGAATAATTACCTTGGCATCCCTTGATTATGATGAGCCATTAATGATCAAAGGCACAAGAGAACAACTAGATAACAATTTAAACTAGTCTAATAACCTTGAGTTTGGGAAATATATTACATGTCCTATTACAAAGTTGGCAAGAAAAGCTAAAAGAATACTAGCTAGAACAACTCAACACTTGCTACATCTGCCAGTGTATGTGGGACTTACATGTATTAGAGTGATGGTCAATAAGATAACAATGCCTTAAATAATAAGAAATTCTTCATTTTGGAAGCTGTTATTAGAACATGAAAAAATGACTTTACGAGAGCTCTCGAGCCGAATCATGTATGGTTATAGCATATACATTTTAACATATAATTGCATGTTTTTTTGGTATCAAGGCATATATGATAATTTACCTATCAAAGTCCTCTCATCATTGAAGCATTCCTGTTTCCCTAGCTACCTAGAATTCATTGAAAATATTGGGCTATATAGACCAATGTAAATGTATAGTACACTAACTGACTGGGAGTAGGTAAACTTAGCAGTCAAGGGCGTTCCTAAGACTTGTAGGATCTTACCCGTGCCAGGGTCAGCCAGGGCAAGACTAGAAATACTACAAAAGTTTATCACATATGTCAATGTCATCATGTCCCAGTGAAAAGACACTAATACTTTTTGTCTCCTGTTTTTATAGAGCAGAGTAGTTGATGCATATCGCAAACACAGCACAATGAGATGAAGCTGAACAAATTTGACCCATCCACCAAGTTAATTTCATTAACATATTTAAAAATTTGACTTGATCTATTTCACTTGCTCAAAAATAAATCGTGGGTTTGAAGTAAAAATGGCAGTTTGTTGCTTCCTCTCCAACTCAGTATTTTTGTATAACCTACTTAAAACTGATATGAACGTAGTAACATGTGGATATATACATGCGCCATGAATTAAACTCAGCGAGGTTTAGGAATTAACTTTATTAAACATGGCTGAAGCACAAACAAGACCTCAAGCTAATTAAACACACCTTAAAATTGAAATTAAGTATGATCAACTTGGAAGACTAATTTATATCACACATTTACACTGACTCCATTATTCCATCATCGTCTACAATCTCCCTCAGGCTGAAGATATGTATCGACTTCTCGGAGGAGATTTCTCGAGTATATTGGTGATCGTTGGTGTTTGCTTTGGGGTTGGTGCTGGTTTGGGCGGAGGGGGCGGGGATTTGGACCTTCGGGTATAATTTCCGTTCAAACCTGTCTTGGTCACGAAAAACTTACTTCCAATATTTTCTGTACCAAGGAAAGAAGACATGGGATGCTTGGAAGAACTTTGGTCTGAATATACACACAATAAAAAATGGTTGGCATCAACAAAAACAAATCTATCAATTATATGTGATCAGCAAGTGTCATAGTATATTGTTGTTTTTCTGTTGATATAATGATGATGGGGATAAGGATTGATGATGATGATGATGATTATCCATTAAATTGTTTCATCATATGATGACAGCATGAATTATTTTAGAAAATTGACATTTTGGTTGACCCTTAAAATGTGGACAACTAGCGAGCACCATACATAGTACGTATCTGTACAGTGCAGAAACAGCTGTGAAGGAATATTATTTGGAAGCTGTTATTAAAACATCATAAAAATGGCTTTGTAAGAGCTCCGAAGCTGAATAATGCATGGTTACAAAAAATATCATAAAAGAAAATGACTTCACCATCCTCTTTCAGGATGAAGCAATTGATAGCCTCTTATTTCTCACCATTTTTCTCACTAAACTTTATTCGTTAGCATGTGGTTTATCATATTTTGGTCTAGTTGGTTTCTACTTGCACATTTAGAAGTGTTGAGCTCTAATGAAGTAAAAATGCTGAAAGTGAACTGTTTTCTACACTTTTATGCTGAAAGTTGAATTTGGGAATAAATAAATGCAAGAATGGCAGCAGCTGCTGTGAGGAATTAAAAGAAGATGACAACACTTGCTGCACCTTCTGACCAAGGAAGAGAAACCCACATGCGTTGGCAGCAAAAGAGTCAGACCTCCATGCCAAAGGAATAAAGGAATGAAGAATGAATGGGTAGCAAGCGGCAGCATTCCTTGGCATATCACATAAGTGAATGATCAGATGAAGGGAGATAGCAACCCAAAAGAGAAAGCCCCTTGGGTGGCAGCAAAAGGCAGCCGCAATTGAAGACCAATGAAAACCCAAGTGAAGAAAGCTGGAGGTGCAGCAGCTAAAGAAGAGAATGCAGCAGCCAGCACATGAAGATGATGAATATAATGATGCTTTAGTTGCTCTCATTTCCCTATAAATAGCAAGCTTAGCAACCGAGAGAAGTGTGCAGAATTTGTGCAAGAGTCTTGGCACCAAATAGAGTTAGATTAGTTCAACAGCTGGGGAGCCGAGAGGCAAGGATCCAGGGAGAGGACAAAATGACAATACAATTGGAGAGAACCTTGAAGAGCCGTGAGGCAAAGAACCAAGGGGTTGATGATACAATTTTTCCTTCTCCTCTTTGTTTTTATTTTGTATTTTGTTTATTATTTTATTTATGTCTAGTTAAATTATGTTAACGAGGAAATACCATTATGAAATGAAGTTCTAGTTTTTATCTTTCAATTTCCAACTATTATATTATTCAATGATTATAATTTTGCCTTCACATGATTAATAAGTTAATTTTCTTTTCACTACTTCTATCATGTATTTGTGGTAGTTAAGAATTTAAGTTAAGTTATTAATGCATCCTTGGCTTTGTATTACTAATATACAAATTGCTGTGGGAAATAGTTAAAATATCACAAAAAATATATTTAACAGAAGAACACATACAATTATTGCATGTTTTTTGGTATCAAAGCATATATGATAATTTACCTATCAAAGCCCTTGCATGAGCAGAACTGATCCAAGTTCCCACAGCAAACATAAGGATTATTATGAACGTGCCTCTCATCATTGAAGCATATATATGTGTCCCTAGCTGGCTAGAATTCATGGAATCGAATTGAAATGAAGTTATTTATAGACCAATTTATGTACTACAGTACTATTTGTATTAGGTATAGGAATCACGATGCTGGTAGTTGGTGTACTTAGCAGTCAAGGGCGGTCGTAAGACTTGTAGGATCATATCACATCAAAGTTTACATGGAGTAATAATTAGGGGAGTTATGAAGTAATTAATGTGTTTCCTAAACTTAGTTCTCATCAGCATATCCTACTGCAAACTGCATGGCCAATTTTGGGAAGCTCGACTAGTTGTCCTGATCACGTAAGTATAGGTATTGTTAGGTGTTTTGAGATCGCCAGAATTTTCTCAAGACATCCACGCGCTGCCCGCGTTTTTGGTATGGGTCTCCCATTTTGTCCAAAAATGACCCCTATGTCATCCCGAGCACAATGGTATGCTTGGATTCAAATTTGGTTATCGTTTTATGGTTGAACGGGTTTTACATATTAGGCGCTATCAAGGTTCAATATGTTCGTACATTTGGATCGACTCCATTTCCAAATATGTTGATTTAGGAACCTCTAGGATCGTGTAGGAACTCACGGATCGAGAATCGAAGTCCCGAATGCTTGGATTCAATTGTTCAAAAATTACGTAAAACGATGACCGCTCGATCTGGACCAAACTTGAAGAACGTGTTTAGTAAATTTTGTTGAACCCATAGGAACTTTAGGATTATTAATCGAAGGTCGTGGATCCCACAAAGGACCGGGTTGACCAATATAAGAATTTAATCATATATTTAATCTTGGTCTTTTCAGATCATTCCTAAAAATTAAGGTTTTTTAGGTTTTAGACATAAAAAAAATTTCACTTTTGAAAAAAGCCAAAGCTTTTTCAAAAAAGACAAAAAAACCGCTCAACTTTCAAATCAAAGACATGCAAATGTATTGGATTCCTTAGGAAATCTAAAAATAAATAAGGGCATTTTTGTCCATTTTTGCTTCTTTTAAAATTTTTCTCTCTCCTTTTGCTTTTTCTAAAATGTCCTTTCCAATTATCAGAACTATTGAAAATGGGCCTAGGAACTTTAAGGCCGGTGGTCAGGGTTTTGATTAAATATTTGTGGTTGAGCTATTTTATTAATTAAATATTTTAATCACTTAAATAGGTATTCGGGCTCCAACAAACCTGCAGGAAGGACCTTTGAAGGATCAGGCTAGCTTGGACGCACAGTGAGTTGATGTTTGTTTTATAAATGAATTTATGCAGTAAAAGTTTTATTAATTGATCATGAATGAATTATTTATGGTTTTTGCTTTCCAAGCATACAGCTTGAATTCAAATACTATTATAAAATTTTGTTTATGATTAAATGTGAATGGCTTGGAAAGTAGAAAAGGAAATGGTAACACGATTTAAGGATTCATGAGTGAGGAATAGTATTGTAATTTTTCAGGAAAGGTTTTTAAACCACCATAGGTACCCAAAATGTTGCCTTCGAATAAACTGTTGCCTTCAGATATAATGATGCCCACGGACATCCTAGTTGTCGTCGGTTGAGTCAGCGCACATTTGGCAGTTGGCCCACAAGTCCTAGGGATAACCGGACTATGAGGAGCGAGGAATGCTGCTCAAGTTGACCAAGTGTCTCCTGAGTTCTACAAGGAATGCCACTTGGGTTAACTTTGTGTTTCTCGAGTTTTGCGAGGAAGTGTCGCTTTTGTGACACTTGAAATTGACTGTATAATGTGGGAAATAAATAAATAAATAACCATGGAATTGACGGATTTATAAATTGTACACCTAGGTGGAAAGGAATTATTATTTTTCAATGCTTTCAAATAGTTTTGATGAATTGATTGAATGTATGAACGGTTATATGAATATAAATATGCATGCTTGATTTTTGTACGAATATAGAACAGGGATTAAATGATTTTTCAAATGGTCTTAACAGTGGTGGTAGTATGTTGATATTATACTTTGCAAAACTTTCTTTTGTCCACTTACAATTTTAATATTTTGCTCCCTCAGGCAGTAAGCGAGTATCGGAGCACCACCATCGGGCAATCATCACCCACCACTTCCTTTATTTAGGCAATCGTACTGTAACCGTGCAATTTTTGTAAATTAAACTAATTAGTAGGCTCTGATCTTATCCTAGGATTTTTGTGAGGCCTGAGGCCACACAGATTTGATGTTGAATTGTGTGTGTTCTAACATTGTGCATGCTGAACGATTGTGGATATATGAGTTGCATTTTTGTACAGGTGTAAATTTTGGGAAACGAGCAATTTACAGGGGACACTCTGCCGAATTTTTGGCAAAAGTCAAACCTTAAAAGAATTTTTGAGTTTTAGTTTATAGGGAAAATTTGTTGTGTGTTCGGCACCTAACAGGTGTTGGACATGCACAGGATTCGACACAAATTTCAAGGTGGAATTTGGGTTGGGTCTTGTCAAAATCAATAAAACCATTTACACATCAACACTATGTATTTTTAATTTTATTTTATAAAGTACACGATGTTATTTTGGACCCGGACAAAAAAAAATAGAGATAAAGCCTTATATTCTATGGAACCTGCTGCCAAAGTGCAATCAGTATTATTAATAATTTAATATAAAGAGAGTCCACATTCACTCAATTTTTTCCTTTTGGTCTTTTTTCTTCTGTTTTTTATAACATGTTTTTTTTTATGATTATTATTTTTTATTCTGTATTTTTAATTATAAATTTATGAAACAGTACTAGTAATCCTCATTCGAATTTTCTTCTCGTCATTTTTTACACACCTCCATATATAAGCATGTAAAGTATTATTTTTTTTTTTTTTTTTTTTGGTCAAATCACATAATATATAACCCTAATACAAAAATAACTGATGCAGCGAGTTTGACAAATACATACATGGACCATTGGGATCACGTTCATGCGATTAAGGTGGGATATTAACAGTATGCTGAGGTTAGTGAAGATGCAATGTGCGTTTAGTTAGCTATATAAGTCTTGGTTAACAGAAAGAATATTCCATATGAGGAAGAAGGAAACTGATCTTGGAACGGGGACATGTTCATGAATGGCTTTAGCATTCAAAGTGACACTGGATGATTAAGCTACACAAGATTCTAATTAAAATTAATTAGAAAAGAGCTTAGTCCTTATTCTAATTAAAGCAGCAAATACATAATAGAAGGTGTACGGCCCACCCTCATCATCTATGAACGGCTTGATTTTGATGTTCAAAATGAAGCCACATTGGACACTCGCAGACTACCACCACCAGTTACAATACCATGGTATTTCGTTGGCCCAGGAGACGGTTTAGGTGGAGGTCCTGCGTCTGGAGGTGTAGGACCAAAATGTAGTGGTGGCCGCGATTTGTGTGGAAGCGAAGGAGCAGCAGAGGTTGAGGACCTTCCAAACATGATTATCCTCATGGATTGATCCCTTGGATTAGTTCCTGCAACATGCACACATGTAAATGCAGATCAGTAGATAATTTTAGTTGATGGTTTCTAGATAAAATTAGATTGCCAGTGTAAACGGAATGTTCTTTCATTTTTATTTTTCGGGATGTAGACGCCCTTACACCCGCCTGTTATTTTCAACATTTGCTTCGACTCACAACAGTTTTGATCAATTTTTACGACTTTTTGATTTTATTCTTGGCAACGTGCATTAAGTTAGGGTTTTTAAGTTTTAAATCTGTCAGTCCACGGGAAATAGTTAAAATATCACAAAAAATATATTTAATAGAAGAACACATACAATTATTGCATGTTTTTTGGCATCAAATCATATATGACAATTTACCTATCAAAGCCCTTGCATGAGCAGAACTGATCCAAGTTCCCACAGCAAACATAAGGATTATTATGAACGTGCCTCTCATCATTGAAGCATATATGTGTGTCCCTAGCTGGCTAGAATTCATGGACTCGAATTGAAGTAATGAAGTTATTTATAGACCAATTTATGTACTACAGTACTATTTGTATTAGGTATAGGAATCACGATGCTGGTAGTTGGTGTAATTAGCAGTCAAGGGCGGTCTTAAGACTTGTAGGATCATATCACATCAAAGCTTACAAGGAATAATAATTAGGGGAGTTATGAAGTAATTAATGTGTTTCCTAAACTTAGTTCTCATCACTGCAGATCCTACTGCAAACTGCCAATTTCGAGAAGCTCGAATCTCCCATAAAATAAAATGACTTCACCATCCTCTTTCAAGATTGAGCAATTACACACACACAATAAATCGTGGGTTTGAAGCAAAAATGGCAATTTAAATTCTGAAAAATGGCAGTTTGTTGCTTCCTCTCCAACTCATAATAAACATAGTGACATCTGAATATATACATACGTCATGAATAAAACTCAGCGAGGTTTATGAATTAACTTCATTAAACATAGCTGAAGCACAAACAAGACCTCAAGCTAATAAAACACACCTTGAAATTGAAATTACGTACTGATGAACTTGGAAGACTAATTTATATCACACCAAGGAAAGAAAAACTTACTTCCAATATTTTCTGTACCAAGGAAAGAAGATGTGGGATGCTTGGAAGAACATTGGTCTGAATATACACACAATAAACATGGCTGAAGCATAAACAAGACCTCAAGCTAACTAAACACACCTTGAAATTGAAATTACGTACTGATCAACTTGGACGACTAATTAATATTAGTATCGACTCTTGGAGTGTTCTCTGCAACTCTACTTGGAAATTCAAATGACAAAAGTTTTGGAGGCCCTAGGCAAACTACCAAAATGTGGCCTTCTACTCTCTATGTATATTTATCCAATTTTTTTTTCTATAAGTTAAAAAAAAAATTATATGAACTCAAAGTCAGAATATTGTGACCTAAAAAGAAACAAACAAAATATAATTTACATAACAATTTATAAAATACATCAAAACATCACCCGCCTTGCATTTCTCAATGCCAAAGTGTCAATTAACTTTGCATAATCAACTTTTTCTACAATGCTTTTTTCAGTAGAAAATATAAGCAATAGTCTTGTGGGTTTTTGCCTTTTTGTTCTTACTTGAAGATCGCTTCCTCTTGCAGTAAATATTCAATAATAAACTTCTTGTTTTTCATTTCTTGGGTTGAGTAGAGCAGATTTTTCAATATTCTGCTAGGTTTTTTTGGTATATGCTACTAGGTTAACCTATTCAACTAGGTTAACTTATTAACTGGTTTAACTTAAAAAAAAATAATTGGTTCCTTATTAAGTTTTCTTTTTTAAGTTTTAGAGTAAATAATTGGGCTTAATATAATATTAATATAGTCAATGTCATGTCCCTGTGAAAGGACAATAATACTGGTATGAACGTAGTGACATGCGGATATGTATACATACGTTATGAATTAAACTTTGAAGTTTATGAATTAACTTTAGTAAACATGGCTGCAGCACAAACAAGACCTCAAGCTAATTAAACACACCTTGAAATTGAAATTACGTACTGATGATCAACTTGGAAGACTAATTAATGTTGGTGTTAACTCTTGCACATTGCCTGTGTGTTCTCTGAACTCTCGACAGAAACTTGGAAATTCAAAAGACAATAGTTTATATCACACATTTACACTGACTCTATTATTCCATAGTCCACTCTCTCCCTCAGGCTGAAGATATGTATCGAGTGCTCGGAGGAGATTTCTCGAGTATATCAGTGATTGTTGGTGTCTGCTTTGGTGTTGGTGCTGCTTTGGGCGGGGGAGGCGGGGACTTGGACCTTTGCGTATAATTTCCAGTCAAACCTTTCTTGGTCACAAAAAGCTTACTTCCAATATTGTCTGTACCAGGTAAAGAAGACATGGGATGCTTGGAAGAACTTTGGTCTGAATATACATACAATTAAAAATGGTTGCCATCAACAAAGCCAAATCTATCGACTATATGTGATCAGCAATGTCATAGTATATTGTCGTTTTTGTTTTGATATAATGATGACGGCATGAATTATATTAGAGTAATGGTAACTGTTAACTACACCACTCAAGAATCTTTGTTTTGTGACTTCTGTTTTATTTGGATCACCATCTGTTTTTGGTTGCACTTAGCAGTCAAGGGCCCCTGAGACTTGGATTATAAAAAATGTAATGATTCGACCAAATAAAAAATGTAGTGAAAAGATTCGACCAAATAAAAAATGTAATGAAATCAGACTAGAAAACTACAAAAGTTTATCAGATGGGCCAACGTCGTGTGCGAGTGATACTTTTCCCTTCTGTTTTTATAGAAAAGAGTCTAAGACTTCATGAATGTCACACAAACACATCATAATTAGTTGAAGAGTTGAACCCATCCTCCATGAAAAAAACCCTTCACGTTCTCCAACTGCTCTCTCCTTCTTTGATCTCTCAACCAAAAACCCACCACATGTTTTTTCTGATATTGATCTAGAGAAGCGTTAGAATTTGAGACCTAGAAATTTAAAGCTAACCATATTTTTTCTGCAGTTTTATACCAGACACATTTTTTTTGGCGAAGACTTTATTTATAAAATCTTTTTTCAAAATTTGGTGCTTATAAATTGCTTTAAACTTATTCGATGGTAGACTTTGGGTATTTTGATGAGATAATTAAGCTTTTCAATCTACTAATTAAGCTTATCGTCATATTGCGCTTCTATTATTTTTTTTGTCTTGGTGCTCTGTTTCCTTTTGTTTTTCTTTGGTTGGTGGCCCTGTTGTTCTTGTTTTGTTGGCATTTTGTGCCTTTTGCGGGTGCCTAATGAAGCTTTATTGACCAAAATAAAAGGAAAAAGGCATGTGATAACCTTTTATGTATTTAATTGCATGTGTAGAAATTTTTTTGGGTAAGTTCCTTGAAAAGTGATGAGTGAAATGAGGAGGGTGCTTATGATCATGATAACCTTCATCATTTTGGGTATTCAGTGGTCTACAAATTTAGAATCTGCAGTGGCTTCCACCCTCTATTTATAGGCAGCTACCTTAATGGAGTGGTTGAGTTAGCCACATCATAGAATCCCAGTCTAGATCTCATCCCACCTCATCAATTTCTTTACGGGGTCCCTATTATTGGTTTAGTAATTTCCACTGGCATCAAAATTTGTAGCAGACTTTGTTTATGGCACACACATATAGGATGACCTTTAAGGTTGGAGCCTGCTTAATTTGCATAATTAATTATACTTGTGTGTACTAAGTGTCAAGTTAAGATGAGATTTAATACTAATTGTTTGCAGACAGCATAGAAACTTTACCAATTTTTTAGAGTTACAGTTGTGTCGTGACCAGAAACACAGACATGATAATTGATATACAAGTAGGAGAGCCACCCTGCACATAAATTCCACCAAAAAGTCATATTTTGATTGAAAATCAATTAAGTACTCCGAAAAGCTGAAAATGGAGAAAATAAATAGTAATAAGTCTTCTTTAAAGCAAATTCTCCTAAAAAACTAACTAATAAGGGTGAATACATGAATATATTTATGAACCTATCAATAACATTATGAATATTTCATCACCTTTTTGTGGTTAATCTAAAAAGAAATTACGTCAATTTAGGAAATAATCTCACTCATAGTTGTTTACCAAAGCAACAAGTCCATGACATGTGAGATGAAGAATGTGATCTAAAGAAGCTAGGTTCAGAAGGCCTTTTCTTGTAACTCACACCCTTTGAATTTAGCACATTCTTCAAGGTCCTCAATTGATTTATCTGGGGATGTGAGTGCACAAGAAGAGATCTCCACTTTCAATAAAACAAGAGAATATTTTAAGATATGATTCGTGAATCTCTAGCGAGATTATTGAGTTTGTATTTCCCTCTTTTCGGCCGGGGCGGTCGACGGAAGGAACTTTTGGTCCTTCTTCTTTTTTGAGTGCGGGGCCTACCACCACCAAGCCCCGAATTTGGGCTTGAATGAAATGTAAGTAGATGGATATGTTGCGTTCGAGATTTAACTTTAATAAAACGATTGTTCGGCCAAGCAAGGAACCTCCTCACGGCCTAGGTTCTTTCACTACCTCGGGGTCAAGGCTTTATGTGAGCGACCAAATGATGTGGAGTGGGTGGAGATGAAGATTGAAGGTGAAACGTAATGAAATGAAGAATAAGTGCGTAAAGTAAAGGTGTTTAAACTTAAATGTAATTTAAAGGCAAATGCGTAAAGTAAAGTGTGAAAAATAAATAACGTAAAGGCGAGAATTAAAGTGTGATAAAATGAATCAAAACGATAAATAAAACAAGAACAAAATGAAAGCGATAAGAACAATAAAGTACAATGAACTTGAAATTAAACTTAATTGAAGTGCGTTAACACTGAAAAGTAAAGCAATTGAAATAAACTTGAATTTAGATTATAAGAAAATATAAATTGAACGAGAATTTAAACTTATACTAAGAAAAGGAAGAACTCGCTACACTAAGTGCATGAAAAGTAAAATCCTAAGTCTAGGAAAAGAAAAGTGCGAGACGAAAGATAAGTTTGTTTGTCTGATGTTGTGTGTCTGATGTCTTCGTTTGGTGAGGTTTATATAGGGCATTCTTCAGCCTATGGGCTGGCCATTGAATGGCCAAATGTCAACTCTTTTAAAACTCTTTCCTTTTGAAGCCCCTTGAATTCGTGGAATCACATTGGTGGAAATATTCTGATTGCTTGATTGTCTCATGTTTTGGAGTATACTGAACTATCATCAATCTCCTTGATTTGTTTCCTTGTGAGGCCTCCATCATATGCACATTGACCTCCGGAAATCTTGGGCGTCAATCCATGGCTTGGGCCTTGACCTTTGAGGTTTCATCGTGACATCTGGTGGAACCTTGTGCCCATTGAGTTTTTAGAATTCTAGAGTTGGCTTACCATCCGTCGACCATCCGCCAAGATGGGTGGTATGAGAACTCCAAATATTTGGATGCTGGGGTTGGCCCTACGTTGGACTATATTTGAGTTCTCAAATATTCGAATATTGGAAACTCGGCGGACATACCTCCCACGGAACTTCAACTTCCTTGGCCCGACTTTGCTTGCCCAAGTGTTGAGAGGAGGGCGCCAAGGTGCGAAAGGAGAAAATTCCCCCCGACCCTTTTTTTGTAAGTAGAGTGGCCGACCAAAGTATTTAAGGAGTGCCCGGCCCAACTTTTTGAGAAGGAAGCATTCGGCCACTTTTGCAAGGAAACGCTCGGCTACTTTTACAAAGGGAAGCCCCTGACCATATTTTTGAGAAGGCACCATGGCCTTTGAAGAAAACGGCACCATGGCTTTTGAAGAAAAAACATCGGCTGCATTTTTGAAAAGGCACCACAGCCTTTGAAGAAAAGACCTCGGCCACTCTTTTTGCGAAAGCACTTAGGCCGCATTTTTGAAAATGCACCATGGCCTTTGAAGAAAAGACCTCGGCCACCTTCTTTGAGAAAGCACCTCTGTTTGTGCCTAATAAATCACGGTCATGAACTGATTGAAGGGACTTCTCTGCGGCCCTGGCGCCTACCATTTCGTCAAGCATTTCGCCTTCCTGAAAACAAAAGAAAAGCTACAAAGGCAAAATCCTCTCGGCCTCGCGACCGCAGTATTGAAGGCCGAGGCCGAAGGCCGTAAAAGACACGGCCTAAAGAAGCTGTGGTTAAATCGCCACGTGGCCTCAGGGCCCCACGCTCCATTTAATGAAGTAATGCCTCTGACTTCACAGCAAACCCAATTGTCGCAAAAAGCATTTAATGCATAAGGGAAGTGACTGAAGTCAGGATTTGGTGATGGAAATCAGGGTGGTTAGGCGCAGACATTCTCACAAGTAATCTCGCGACTTGAGGTCAGATCACCAACCACCAGACCAGGGCTTTAACTGCGTTCCCACGGCCAATGGGGCAGAACCCACGATCAGGGCAGTAGCCGAGATTTACCGAGATTTATGGGGGTCACACCACCATGCTTCACGATCCTTAATGCCGATTTGACTACCCACTTGCCCCGGTCAGGCTCCACTACGTAGGTCTTGTCAGCCTCGAATGTCCCTCCAGGACTCCTCCTATAAATACCAGGCCCAGGACTACATTCAAAGGGTTCAAACACCAAACCAAAAGCCTCCCACGGAGCAAATTATATTTTTCTATAATGCACTTTCAATACCTTTATTCGCTTTCCTAGGAGTAGTGGTAGATTGTAAAGAAAATCCATTCATCAATATATCATACGACCCTTGATTTTCAAGGCGCCGGAGCACCATCTCTGTTATCGTCTCACTTACCCCATATATCATACGACCGTCGCTCTCTGAGCAACGCGCCGAAGCATCGCCTAAAACCCACCACCAACACCACCACTAAACGGCCTTGTAGCTCAGGCCGTGAACCTGACGGCCGAGATCAGTTACTCTCTCGGCCACAATCGTTTAATTGGGAGTCGAACGCAAAACAGGCGCAACATTTAAACCATCTTCTACCCGAACCTCATCATCATCTCGACGCATGGTAGACCGTGCTGGCACCCCCGAACACAACCGCACCGCATCCAAAAGAAGGATGTCACGTGTTGACGCACATCCCCTCGGCCCGGAGCATCAGGCCATGAGATTCGCAACAGCCAACAACCTCGGCCGCTAAGAATTCTTCAGCCGCTAGTAATTCTCGGCGGCTAGGAATTCTTCACCGCTAGGAATTCTCGCTCGCTAGGAATTCTTCCTTGGCAAATTGGGTGAATTTTGACCAGCCCTAAACAATTTGATTGAAAAAGATGTTTCCAATCACACTTGGGTGACATGTAATTCATGAAAATTCAAGCTAAAGATTTGACATGAATTTTGTATTGCATTCTAATTCCAATTGATTGAATATAATATCTGCCTTTTCTATTTTATATTGGGTATCCTTGACAGACTTCTTGCTCTCAATCATGGTTATTGGAGGCCCTGAGGACATACTATAACTGGTTTTTCACAAAATAGAGAACTAAAAGGGGGTTTAAATTCACAATCAAATGAAAGAGTTCTACTCGCCCGCCGCCTCAATAATTATAAGCTTATGGAACACATACCAATTAAGATAGAAAGTTTCAGAAAATTAAGTAAGATGATTGAGCAAATTGAAGAAGTTAATTGATTGTAGCAATTGATAGGACCCAACCCGAATTCCCCCTTGGAATCCTTGTCGAACCCTGTTACCTGTTCAACATCCAATCGATGTCGGGCCCACTTACTACTTGTACTCTCATCCCCACACAAAATAAGAAAATGGGTCAAGACTTCTACCTAAAAACTGAACACTTTCCAAATTAACACCTATATAAAAACACACTTAAACTTCCCAAACTTCAGTACGCAAAAGAAATATCACACACAACTACGATATAAGCCTCCAGCCTTTAAATGTCACCCTTTAATATACGTACCTGCTTACACCATAACAAATTCACCAACTTCCTGCATGCAAGGTCTACACTCCAACCACTGTCAAAAGAAAAAATCTAAAGTGGCTTAGGCTTCATTATACAAATATAATTCAAACCCTCATTCGGGCTTCGGGCCCACACCAAGACAAAAGGAATTCTAAATCTTATTAGCAAACCACTTCGAGTTTAAGACTCAGTAATCGTTAACAGATTCAAAGATATATTTTGATGCAATCAAGCACAACTCACATAGTTTACTCCGTGACTGCACCTAGGTTAACCTAGGTTGCCTACATACACTTACTGAGGGATCAAGCCACACATAGTTCTTTTAGTAATGACATTATTTGCATACAATCCAAATCAATCAATCTATACCAAGTTTCAAATCAATCCTTACTTAAAGACACAAATGTCTGTGCAAAGTAGTCTCATACACAAACTTGAGAAAATCCCACCGTAAATAACAATATAAAACTCATACTAACTTTCTCCCACCATTGTTCCCATTATTCATTTATCTTTACATAAACATATTTCCCAGACACGCAGGACGGAATCCTCGACGCCCGTGCGGTTGAAATTAAATCCCAAGATACTCACAACGGAATCCTCAACGCCCATGCGGCTGGAACTAAATCCCTAAACACGCACGACGGAATCCTCAACACCCATGCAGCTGGAACTCAAAACCACTATCCCAAATCCCAAAACACAAGGTCATAAAATTATATAATAAAAACTCAACCCACAACCAAATTTCCAATAAACATTATTCACTTACCTAATAAATATAATAACTCAAATGAAAACGTAAGACATTTAATATAATAATAATAATAATAATAATAATAATAGTAACCAATATCTAAGTAATCCAATTTATATCACATAAAACTCACCCTTCCCTTCTCCTAATTTTGTACCCATTATCTATATATTACACAACTCACACCATCATCATGTACCAGGGGAAAACAATCCAACACGGGGATCATTTTAACTAGACCATATGGCAGAATCCTCAACACTCATGTGGCTAGGAAATGAGTAGTCCAACTGGGGGACTATTACTTCCCAAACACGCACGATAGAATCCTCAATACACATCTGGCTGAATATCCCTTCTACGCACTCAAACTGCCGATCAAGGACTTTGGTACACCTGGTCAAGGGTGCCCGGTATCCCGACACACCTCCGAAGAGTTACCGTGTGTCTAATATATCAAGTACTAATATCAAGGGAAGTACATATGATAGTGAACATCATGTACCTGGGGGGAAACAATCCAACACGAGGATTGTTTTACTAGACCACATGGCAAAATCCTCAATATTCATGTTACTAAGATGAGCAGTCCAACTGGGGGACTCTTGCTCCCTAGACACACACAGTAACCTCAATACACGTGCGGTTGAAATACATCTTACACTTGCGGAATGCTAGTCAAGGCCCACGACACACCCCACCAAGGGTGCCCAGGTAATCAACATCCCACACATCGGAAAATACATCAACGCACATGTGGTTATCATCCATATCAAACTGGGGAAGGCACATATGATGGTGCAATTCACATACTCATATTCCAATATTATATATTATATATTATATATATATATATATATATACAAATACATAGCCCCACTTCCCACTCAACATGCAAGTCTTTAAACATAATAATGATAACGACAATAATAGTAATAATGAAAATAAATAATAATAATAACCATAATAATAATAATTATGTATTCTCCAGTCACAGTGTAAAAGCCGAAACAAATCCGATAGCACATTTTCAAAACTCCATTAACCAAATATTAATTTCCAAACCATTCAGTTTTCAACTACCAAATTCGAATTCTAGGCTCGCACAGAAAATATCGTCAGTCAACAACAAATCATGCATCAATTCACACCATCTCCATATCCCAATTTATATCACAAATAAACACACACATATATAGGTACATTCCAATATTCCAAAAGCAATGCACATTTAAAACAATTGTCCAAATACTATCAAAACTCATTAATCAACCTCAACCGCGAATTTAAAATCCAAACCCTAGTTACCGGAAACTTAACGTGTGTGCACAACTTTAGAAAGGTCCTAAGATCATTCTAGTACTTTCCCCAAGGGACAAGATGGTCTCAAAAGACCCGTGGCCAACAGTTTGGTCAAACTTCCCTTTTTTGGTAAACTGGACCTGTGGGGCCCACGACTTTTGATTTCTGATATGAAGGTTCCTATAGGTCCAACAATGTCTACTAACGAAGTCCCGAGGGTTTAGTCTCAATTGCAAGGTGGGATCGCTCTCGATTGCACGATCGGATAGTAACTGGTTTACCTAACCCCAAATTCATTGACCCGGAGTATCCAGGGCTTCAATTCTCAATCCACAAGTTTCCACACCATCCTAGAGATACGAGGAACGACTTTGAAAATGAGACCGATCGGACGATCCAAACCTATCGAACCTAGATATCGCCTAATAGGCGTAATATCCGTTCGATAGTCAATCGGTAACCAAATTTGTTTGAAAGGTAATTTAATGAAATTTCTCTTGTTCATCAATGAATACACTCTTTGTCAAGATCATAAATTTCTTTGGTTTTTTTAGTGGGTATTTGTTTTTCTGAATTTTGATTATTTATTTGTGTTTTATGTTTATTGCATATGAGGTTAATAGGCTTAATGCTCTCAGGGGCAGAGGTGAATTTCTAATCCTCCAGTTCAACATGCAAAGACTCTTCCAATGTGTCTCCATAATCCATGGTCAGAAAAAAATCTTATCTCAGCTTGACGGAGTACACAAGGTTTACAAGAGTGACGGTTTCAGTCCCCAAAGAATGCAAAAGGGATTGATAGCCCTCAGTGTCTTTTTGGCCTTTTTTTTTGGTAGTGTATGGATTCGTTTCATATTATACATGAACACAATTACGAAAGCTGGGTGCTGAGCTTTGAATTTTATCAATCATTAATTTTCTTGTGTATTATATATCAATTTTGATATATGAATCATGTATGAGTCCTTGTTTTACAATTATGATGACGGGTTAGTTCATGCAATCTAATCTTATAGATTTTGGCAAAAAAAAATAAAAAAAATATTGTCATATGAATCTTGCCAAAAAAAATGATGTCACATGAATTTTATTTTTCACTTAAATTATCAAAGCATTTAAAAAAATCAGTCCGATCCGATGTTATCCCACGGAGCACTAAACATAATATAACTTAGTTAGAATATCCGAAGAGGAATGTTAGCAACCTTCTCTCTAACCTTCTCCTTTGGACCTTCTCCTTTTTTGGCTTGACATGTGTCATTCTCTTTACACTTAAAACAATGTCATTAATATATTATACAAGCTAACTTTTGCTTTCCAAGTTTACCCTTATTAAATGTATTCAATTTATCCAAAATAATTTCACAACTTTCTTAAAAAATTCATTAAAAAAGGGACATTTCCTCTTCTTTTTTTTTTTAAAGAAAAAATTTTCTTTAAAAAAATAATTGAGGTTTTTTTTTATAAAAAAAATGGTAAGAAAGTTGTGAAATTTGTTTGGATAAATTGAATACATTTAATAAGGATAAACTTGGAAAGCAAAAGTTAACTTGTATAATATATTAATGACATTGTTTTAAGTGTAAGAAGAATGACAAATGTCAAGCAAAAAAGGGAGAAGGTTTAAAAGAGAAGGTTAGAGAGAAGGTTGCTAGCATTCCCCATATCCGAAATAGCATCAAACACCTTATAAATAAATTAATACTATCCGACATAAATTAATCAATACAGTCTGACGTACCAAACGAGCTTTAAAATTCATCAAATATCTTATTCGGATGACTTTGGAGAAGAGAATTTGAACTTAAGACTTATGTGGGTTGAATTATCTAAACCATTAATTGAAGCTACAAACCTCCACTTCAATTACACAATAGACAACAAAATCAATCTGATTTCCTATTCCAATTTAGATTATTTTTTAAAAGAAAATCTAGGCAACATGCTTTAAACCGTAATTTACCGAAAAATATCAAGTTTTCTTATTAATCAATGAAATGTCCGGAAATTAAAAAGTAACAGAAAATGATGAAATAAAAAAATGTTTTTCATATAAGGCAAAATGTTAAAATAGTCCAGCTCTTCCAAAATTGGACAAACTAGTCCAATTACAGTCCAACAATTACATGAAAGAACTTTTATGTCACTGTCAGATAGTCACCCTAGAGTTGTTTGAGGGACTGAACCATTTTGTCTTAGTGCCCTCCTATTTGTCCTTATATGATAAAGCCCCAAAAAGTAATTGTCTTGTTTTGTTAGAAACATTTCTTGTCTTGTTTTCCGTACCTGTATTAGTAGATAAGTATCCACCGGCTTTACTCTTTCCTTGGTTAAAAAGTTTCCAATTTTTCCGTTCTCTTTCTTACCTGGCTGTAAATTAGTAATTTCGCAGCTGTAAAAAGAGCTAACTTCGTAGTGGTTTGAGTTAGCTTGGCGTTCACGTCTCAATTCAAACCAATCAAATAAAACTTGACCGTTGGAAATCCAAAACACACTAGGACTCCCTACTTCTCCTCAAACCCTAAACCGACACATTCATGTGCCCTATCCTATACAAGCACTGCTGATTTTCCAAACGAATACCCTTACAATTCACCAAACAAATTAACATTTGCTAAGTTTCTGCGGAGGAAAAGAAACCATGAAAAGAATCCGAACAAGAAGAATTTGAAGAAGAGAAAAAAAAACAGAGGATCTGGAGTCATGGAGAGCACTGGCTGAGAGGGGAGATGGTTGGAGAAGGAAGCTCTGGTTCTGTTTTTCTTGCCACTTCCAAAAACCCAAGAAGGGGTGAGTTTGGTAGCATGCTAAACTTTCCGGGATTAATGGCGGTGAAATCGGCAGAGGTCTCTGATTCGGAGTCAACCCGGCATGAGGCAGAGGTTCTGTTGGATATTAAGGGTTGCCCCCTTTATCATTGAGCGCTTTGGTGAAGAAATCACAACCAGTGAAAAGGGTGGTGATCACATGGTCTATAACTTGTTGCTGGAATTTGCCTCTGGAGGAACTCTTGGCTATCTGATTAAGAAATCCAGCGGTCATGGATTGCCTGAAGCTGAAGTTAGAAGGTATACGAGGTCGATACTCGAAGGGATTAAGCATATTCACAAGTTTGATTATGTTCACTGTGATTTGAAGCCGGAAAACATTCTGCTTGTACCAAATCCTGCAACTAGTACTGGTAGTTTTGTGGCCAAGATTTCAGATTTTGAATTGGCTAAGAAATCCAAGGAGAATTACGGTCAATGGAGAGGCACTCCTACGTATCTGTCCCCAGAAGCTTTGAATGATAGTGAGCAGGAGCCGCCCTCTAATATATGGTCTCTTGGTTGTATCGTACTTGAGATGCTAACAGGCAAGTCCTCAGATTTAAAGCCTGGTTGTGAACTTGAAGATTTCCACTATATGTTTGATCACGTATGTACTCCCAACATCCCTGCTGGAATCTCAGGTGTGGCCAGGGATTTTCTTAAAAGTTGCCTTGCCATGAGGTCATGTGAAAGGCTGACCGCTGAAAAGCTATTGCTTCATCCATTCGTTGTACTGCCAAAGCCATCGAAAGCAGCTCGTCATACAAAAGGGGAGGTGGTTTGCTCATCTTCAGGCTATGCAGATGGCTCCAAACCAAGTGCAAATTGTCACGCAAGCTCTGCCATTGTTTGCAGAATTCCGCCACCACCCGGTTTTGAGATACTTGCTGCTCTTGTTTGATGTGATAAACTCAGTACAAATGTGTTAGGTTCTTTGTTGTTGTATTCTTTTGAATTGTAAAGTCCCTTACTTGGAACTATTCGTTTCAAGTTTATCAAAACCGAATTTTTCAAAGTGATTCAAAATTTCTGTCCTGGTTTTTTGTTTACTTTTGTTCGTACTAAGTTGCGTTTACTTTTGGTTGCTCTCGTTGTTTGTGCTTTATTAGCTCTAACAATGTGCACAAGCCGGTAATTGCGACCTAATCCTAATTAAGCTACTAGAATTTAGATCAGATGACTAATGACTTATTTCAATAATCTAGACTCAGCTTCTGCACTGGAGATAAATAGATTCACAAAGATTTGCAGTAATTTTGGGAGTATTTGTCCTTTTATTGCTTGGCCTAATTCCGGGATGGTGGAAGATTGCTCACTTAAATATTTTTCTATTTTTAAAGTCCCTTAATTGCGATTAACCATTTCAAAGTTTCAATTTTATAATGACAGAACTATGCAATCACTCAAATTTCTGTCCAATTTCTGATGCAGATTCATTCTCTCCCTGATGAGTGTACACTTCATTTGATTTGCTACTTCTTATTAAAACAGCTATTTTGGTTGGTACTTGCTGCTATGCCTCATTAAGTCATTCCCCTTTTTTCTGTTGCTAAACCGGATTTTTGTTCGATTTGTGCTGCTACTTATTTGCCCTGGTTTGGTCTTAAATCTTTTGTTCAACAATCCCATGTTATGCACACTTTTCTGACAGAGGAGTATAAAACCCCGTGTGCTAGACCATGAAAGGCGGCTAGAATTTAAATACTCATCCACTTGTTTAAAATGTGAGTTCATCAATGAAAGCTGGAGAAAAGTTCAAATGAGGAAAATGATACCATATGATGTTTCATTAAGTCCTTTGTGTGGCAGAGATGCCCTCATTTTGAAGATAGATTATGAAAAAAGATATATAAATTAATACTTGTAGTTCCCTCAGAGAGAAACAGGTTTTTGGATTTGTTTATATTGACTCCTGAGCAGAGAGGCATTGGTACTTGCTTTAGGATTTGAACCACAGGGGCCCTATGTCCATCAACATGCTCAGGGTGCTCTTGCTACTAATTCTTAGATAATTCTTATACAAGTACCATTGCATGAACAAACTTTAAAGAACAAGAGAGACTACACCAATTAATGTACGTATAAGGTGGACATAATAGACAGCCTAGACTAGCTAGCCTGTAACCTTCTGAAGCTTAAGCATTTCAAGCTGAAGCTGTGTATCGACTTGGAGGAGCTCTCTTGGACTTGGATAGAAGATCTTTTGGACTTGGTGACTGGCCTGGTGTCGGTCCGGCTTTCGGAGGTGGTGGCGGTGAACGGAGTTGGACATCATTGTAGTTATCTATGCTCACAAACCATGTCTTTTGTGACGACCCTGCACATGTAAGACGGCTCATGTGATTCTCAGAAGTAACTCAATCCCAGTAGACCCGTTGACAAATAATTTCCCTTGTCTTTGGAGCGGATTAATTATAACTTATAAAGCATCTCGTTACGCACGCAGACAAAAATATACAGTCAACAGTTTACCAAAGCTAATCAACAGCAAAAGTTACAAAGAAGAATGATTAAGGAGGACAGCTACTTACCTTGTGAACTACTCTTTGGTTTAACCAAAGTAGAACAGGTGGAAAATTGGAAAAAACTGATGAGAAAGAAAAGAAAAATGGCTCTCAGCATGGCCATCTTCATCTTCTTGAATATTGGGCATGCACTGGACTAAGCAGGCAGATATCTCCATTCAATTTATAGTGATCGTATATTAGCAGACTAAGTAGCTAGCATGTCTCTCTCTCTCTCTCTCTCTCTCTCATAGTGGAAGGATTAATTATATCAGAAAGCTTGACCTGCTCCTCCATTAAAAATCAGCAAGTGACACAAGAAAACCACTTCTTGTACTGTCACTCCCACATGCAAAATTGACCGTTAATTTTAAAAATGTATAATTGGGGGAAGTTTAATTGGTCTATTGTTTTGTATATGACTGAGGGCGGTTCATATGGATGCAGTCATCATTTCTTTAATTTTGATTGCATGTTGTCTCTGTCTCTAGGTTTTGTTTTATTCATATGCTGGCTAGGTTTCGGTTTTGTTTTATTCATATTCTGTAATCAACCCTATTGACTTCTCATAGAGAGGAGAGGAGATAACGAGCTGGCAGCTTCTGACTCTTCCCAACAACTTCAGAAAAATTAAAGAAACTACTGTGACAACCCGGCCAATGTTCCAGACACATATAACCCCCACGATACCAAACCCAAACTTGCCTTTTAACTTTGCTTTCCATACCCAACAAGCACCTAGCCAACTACTTTTTTTTATTTAAGGGTTTTTATTAGAAAACATCTATGAGGCTTCCGAAACCTATTAGTTGTGTCACTAATAGTCCTTAAGGCTAACTTGTGTGCTTAAAAGTAGTCATTTCGCTACAATTGATTTTTCCTAAATCTTGAAAAGTGGCTAGAATATAAAAACTCATCCACTTATTTAAAACTTGTTTTGGTGGATGGAAATTTACAAGTGGAAGGAGGTGCGAAAGATAAATATGACCACATATGATGTTTAATTATAAGTTATTTGTTCTTCAAAGTTTTGGTATTGCCCCTATTTGAAATAGAACCACTGAGATTTGATCAAAAGTTTAACACATAGATTAATATTTGTAGGACAAGAGATCTGAAGTCCAGAACTTTAAATTAATCATTGTGACATTTAATGACACAATTGTACAAAATAAATATATGTCTTAGTTTTGGTTATCTGCATTGGATTTGTGCCTCTCTTTAATTTATTTTATGTTACTGAAAGCTTTTGGTTCTGCCTGGGGGGTTTGGTATGGTTGTTCTAGCTGGAGGTGGATATAGGCTGCCTCAGTTCCTTGCTGGAGCTGTTCTTATTTTTGGTGGATTCTGCACTGAGTTCTAATTCCTTTGTTCGCCCCAAGTCATTCACAGAATTGTACAAAACGATTCGAAAAAATTTCGTAAGTTTGTTTACTTTCGTTAGTCTTGATATTGCAGCCAGTGGATTGGTTTCATGGCATAAGGATGGAGTTGGTATTTCCATTAATTCTGTCTTTGCTTAGATCCTAGCTTTTCCAATTCACAGCAGCCTCCCTCTGCCGGATTAGTTTTCGCCTTGCTTGATTTGCTGACCTTTTGTTTGGCTTTTGGCTTGTCTGGCTCCTTATTTTCCTAGGCTAGCTGGTCTTCCAATCTTTTTTCCTTTCAACAACCCCAACTTTTGCCTACTGTGCTGAGAGAATAGTATACAGTTGTTTGTCCTAAATCTTGAAAGGTAGCTAGAATTTAAATCCTCGTCCACTCTTGTTTAAAACATGATTATGGAAATTACAAGTGGGAGGGAGGAGGTGCAAAAGCTAAAAGAAAGATGGCAATGATGTTTTTGGACTTCTGAGTGTAATTCTTGTTAACATAAAAAACAGGGTGAGGAGTGCAAATGGACAAAACGGGGCCACTTCAGGCCACTGTGCTGATGTTTAAATCCTGGCATTCGTGTCGTTTTTGCAATGTTCGTGTCGTTTTCATGTCAACCTGCTTTTCTTAACGGGTTAACACGACACGACACGATAAGAAAACGGGTTGAAAATGTCAAATATAAACACGACCAATTACAATTCGCCATCCCCAACTCTTCTGTCCTGCTCCCCAAATTTCTTCATCATCTCAATCGCATCATCGTCCAGGCCCTCATCATCACGCCATCGCTTTGCTTTCACTCATTCATGGTGCCATAGATCCAAACCTTTCAAGGGTTTGATTTAAAAAATAAATAAATAAATAACATCTCTATTTTTCATGTAAATGCACAAATGAAGAAGAAGATCAACCCCTTTGTCCATATTTACAAACATACAAGAGATACCCACTACCTAAATTCCAACCCAAACCCAATAATTCACTCAACAACTGTTTGTAGGGGTGGCATTTTAAACCGAAAAACTGCAAAAATCAACCGATAATTTACTACAATGAAACCGCAATTACGGTAAACCGAACCGCATTTGCGGTATTAAGAACCGAACCGCATTTGCAGTTGCGGTTGTGGTATTTGATTTTCAAAACTTGCGGTTACAGCAAACCGCAAAGTATAGCCGCACGGATGATGAGGTTTAATTCTACAAGGAAATGGAACATATGACAACTTGTAAGTAATTAGTTTATTTATGCTTCTTCTTATAATAAAATGTATTAAACTATGTTATTTTATTTGTAGATAACATTGGTGCTCAAACAACACAACGGGGTTCTTCAAATCCACTCACCACCAACAGTTGAGTTTGTAACATTGGTGCATTGCATTTTCCTTTTAATTTGTAACTTTAATTAACTTTGAATTGGATTTTTCTTTTTGGTTGTAACTTTAATTCATTTTGCTTTGCAATTTCCTTTTGATTTGTAACTTTAAAGGATTTGGAATTGGAATGCTTGAGAAGTTTAACTTTAATTGGAATGCTTGGAATTGTAACTTTAATTTTCTTAGGTTGTGAATGCTTGAGAAGTTGAGGAGATTGTGAATTTATATATGCTTGAGAAATTAAGGTTGTGTATTTATTTATTTAAGTTGTGAATTTATATTTTTGTGAATGCTTGAGAACTTGCGGCTTTAAACCGCTAATTCGCGGTAACCGACAGCATTTTGCGGTTTCAAAAAGCAAATAGTCGGTCGGTTTGCGGTTTGAGTAAAAATTCGCGGTTACTGAACCACAACCACCCCTAACTGTTTGTATCATATTTGGAAAATGGGCCAAAAATAGTTTAATTCTTGGAAAAGATTTATTAAGCCCAGGCCCAATATCTTTCCTTTAGAAAATACGATAAAACGAACCTTTTGATTTTTGGGCCAACAGTGGGTAAAACTTTATAGAAGCCCATAGTGCTAAAGAGTCCTCATTTGGGTTCACACTAAGTTAAGAAAATTGGTAACTGTTGCACATCTACCCATGTGAGGATCTGAAGAAGGATTGTCACCATTAATGGCAACTTGACCACCTTCTCTCCCAACAAGAAAAGCAAGCTGGATAATAGCCACAAGGACTGGAAGAAACTAATTACTAACTAGATTTCCAGCTACAAAGGACTCAACTCATAAAAACATCTCATATGACCAGCAGTTTTGACCGAGATATTCCGTCCTCTCACCTATAAACCGGTTCAAGAAGACAAACCAACAGCTGACTTTGGATAGCAGCCAAATATCCTTGTTCAACTTTCATCATTATTAGGAATTCTTGCCTATAAATATAAAAGCTCCGTAGCAACAGAAGAGGACTCTCTCTCCAAAAACCAGACGCAACGTCTTGAAAATACTTGAAAAAATTCAAGATCTTTTCAAATAAGTTTATTTAATATTCAGATAACCAGTTGACCACTCATGCGTTTATCTTTTGCCGCTCTACCATCCTCATGGTATGATTTCTTTTAAATAATCAGTTTGAATTGTTATAGATATATGTACTACTCAAACTGGATAGAGAAATCTCCAGTTTTTCCTAAATTGTAATCGGTGTTTGAAATTAGTTAAATGGAGAAATATGTGGCTCTTATCCTTTTTGTCATCAAGCTAAAATTGGATAGAGAGATCTTTAACATATGAAACCTCCCCACTCTCTGAAATTGTCTTAGTTATTTTATCGAATATCTGCTATTTAACTGCTTTATATATATTCTTATAGAATAATTTGCTTTCCCACCTTTATATATTATTCAAGCCTATTATTCGGACCCGAAATAAAGGTCTAGGCCCGAATAAGGCTCTGTTAGTCCAAAAGTAAGGGCTCGTTCAAGCTCGAACTATATCATTGGGCCCGAATCGACTGAAATCTTGACCAATCTAGGGTCACTTAGGATTTAAGTTAGGTTTCTGGACCCAAATAGGGTAACATTAACCAGAATGCTGGTTTCCCTCTTGTTTGATCAGGTACTGTTTGTATCTATTGAACTGTCAACGCACGAATGAAAGAATATTGAAGTCCTCTTGATTGAGGTATAGAAAAGAATTTATCCAGGGCAGTATCCCCCTTGGAGAACAATGACTTGAGCAGAAGTCCAGAACAAGTGCAAATCCAACAAATTGATATCCTACACTACATATACCATATCTATTGGGCTAGTCTCATACCTAATAGTGGCACGCCTACGCAATCCACGATCAGGACAAAAGAAACAAGTCATCAGGGTCCAGCTCGAGCTTGCCCGTTCTTGTCAACTTGATCCAACTTTTAATTTTGTTCAAAAGTTGAAAGAATCCCCTCGCATGCTAGAAATCCAATCGGGGTTAGTGTTGACTCGACAACCTTTCCACTCTCTAGAGCAGCTCAATCCAGAGTGTCACACAGAGTGTTGGAAAAATGGACCAACAACAACAAAATACATATCCAAAACTGAAAAGATAGAGTACCAATTGGTGAGGAGGAGGGCTCCAATTCTTACCCAGAGCACGATGTACTTGGGAGGCGTGAGACTGCTCTCCATGCCTACATATTCAATTCATCTTCCTTTTCGTTGTGACTTGTGTTTGTGGCAGGTGAGAGAGTGGAAGAGTGAGAGTTTTTTGTTTTTGAAAATGAGAGAGAGTTGGGGCAGAAGAGTTGGTGGAGAGGGGAGCGAAGGAAGAGAAGTCAGGAGAACAAAAATAAGGAAGCAAATAAAGTTATAGTGTAAGCTGTATAAATATAGACAGAATTGATCTATAATACAAGAATGAAGATAGTGGAGTTGGAAAAGTGGTGATCCTTTCTCATAATTGGTTGGGGTTCGAGTACCCTTCTTAGTAAACAATGTTTTCTTATTTTTCCCATCCCATTCTAATGTAAAATTACAAAAATGCCCCTGACTCGATATCTTATCGAGTCAACACAATGTCAACACGACCCATATAGGATATTGCCAGGTCCATATTTAGTGGTGCATATCCTAAGGCTGTGAAGAACTTAATTAGAAGAAGTGGGACTGTTAAAGGAACATTGCAAATTTGAACACCATTTTTTTATTAAGAAAGAAAAAAAGTGAAGTATGTGTAGGGAGATTCCACTGCTTCCTAAACCCACTGAAATAGAGACTAGAATGGTAGGCTGAGTTCATTGGTTTTCTGGCTGATGTAGGAAAGGTAAAAGTTAAGAAAAACATATTACATATATAGATGAAATAAAAGTTTCAAAAGCTAAGGACCAGTTTGATAATCATTTCAATTTTAGTTTTTAGTTTTCAATTTCAAGTTTTTGTTTTCACTTTTGTTATTTCTCTATCCCATCCTCCCCTCTCATCCTATCTTTCAAACGATTATCAAACGGGCCCTAATAATTTGGCTACTTGTTTAGGTTTCTCCAATGTTATATGGGAAAAATAACTTCATTTGCTAGCATCATTGAGTCAATATTGGATTTTCAGATTTCTTACGGTAGAGAGTATAAAAGACTTAAGTGGAATGCTGTCATCTTTCAAGTTTCCCATTCAATCCATTCAAACAAATAATGAGAGGCCCGTAGTCCGGAAAAGAGTATACAAACTCAGTGCCCTCATACATAAGGTTCAACTACACACCAAGACAATATAAAATGTCAACTCCCTCCTCTCTTCTCCCTCTCTATTGTGCTTTCAGTGTTTGCGTGCTGAGATGACCAAAACGTTTCCTATCTTAATGATTTCTGCAAGGATGTCCTAAATGTAGAAGGTTCCGATCATTAAATACATTTATTAGTGGGAAGGATGTGCTCTTACAACAAGGACATCCTTAACATAAACAAATTATATATGTATATTGTGGGAACCGAATTAAATCAGACCCTAGGTCAAATAATTCCTTTCATTTGGGGATTATTTGACCTAATTGGGAATTACTCAACCTAATTGGGAGTTACTCAATTTAATTGGGGGTTACCCAATTAGATTAATTACCTAATTAAATTGAGATTTGATTTGATTCCTACCACAATTAGGGATTTGACTTACCCTAATAAATCAAATCTCTAATTAATCAAATCAATTCCAAATCGGGGAGGAATTATTCCTCTGAAACCCTAGCCTCCGAGACCACTATAAAAGGATAGTCACACACCAAGGTTAAGGTACGTCTAAATTCCTACTGAAACTCTGCTGAAATCATTTCTCCAAAACCCTAGCCACCATATTCTTTATCTCTCTGACACAAGGCTCCGACCGCCACCCAGTTTTCCTTGAAATACCCTACCTAACTTAGGCATCGGAGGGTCTTTGGCCAACACCCCCCGGGTGTGGTCCTTTTACCCCGATCTGTTTTGTAGGGAGAAAGAGAAGTGGAGAAGATGAAGGAATCTTTGGCGAATATTCTTGTAGGACGAAATTCGCTCCCACAAATTGGTGCTTTCATTGAGAGCACGAGATATATTCAAAGCGTGCTCCAAATCCATCCTTCACACATTTTTTCAAACAACCATGGTTGATACAAGATGTACGAAGAGTAACGCCACCACAACGGGCCCATCTCATGGTTTTGTGGTGGAAACCTCAATGCAACCGCACGGAATCATGGCTGCCAACGCCTTACAGCCGTCTTCTAGTGCTTTGCAGCCGCCTTCAGCTGCTGTAATTGCAGAATAGCCGCCACATGACCCTGGGACCTCCACAGCCTTGCAGTCGCCAGCGCCAATTGCCAAAGCTGCTCTGCCTTGTTGTCCTGTCGTCGGAGCACAGCAGCAGCCACACCACTCAACTACTGGATTTGTTGCACAGCCCCATGGCTACTCCGACGTCGTCCCAGTCTTGGAGCAGATCCATTCTCTCCCTCCTCTGCTATCACACTTGACATATGCACCTGTGTACGCGTCTAATGCCATTCTCTCCCTCCTCTGCTATCACACTTGACATATGCACCTGTGTACGCGTCTAATGCCATTCTCTCCCTCCTCTGCTATCACACTTGACATATGCACCTGTGTACGCGTCTAATGGAGCCCTAGCCCATATACCGTTGGGCTCGATGCACAACACTCTACTTGACCTGCGTAGTCAGGTGGACCTTAACTCACGGGTCGATTAACTCACACAGAAGGTCGATGATCAAAACAACCTGATTGGCCAGCTACTCAGGTAGATCAACTTGAATCAAGGCCCTAACCTTGGACCCCGTGATGAGGAGAGGAGGGCACATGAGCATGCTGGCGAGCAGTTCGAGAGGTCCTAGGCTGGTCAGACAAGGGCAAACCGGCAGGGGAGAGAGCAAGATCGTGCAGACGAGACGCAGACAGCTGTGAGCCATACTCTGAGCCGTTCGTGGTTAGGTCAAAGGACCAATGTTTTCGAGAGGCTAGGCTCACAGTCCAATGTCCATGCTCGCTTGGGCCCACAAGGAGCTCGAGTTCGTGAGCGGTCGTGTGATGAGCACAATGATCGATGCCCACCAGCTCGCTCGAGGAACAACATGCGACGACAAGCTGCAGAGGGATCCTCCCAAACTCAACCTTCTCAACTGCCCCACGGGCAGAGAAACCAAGGGGATCGACCCTTGGGAGCTGAAGAAGAAGTTAGCTAGTCACGCTCAAGGCATCGAAGACGTCGACCTGAACGACCCTCCTTGCAAGTAGAGGATGACGATCGACGCCCACCAGCCCGCTCGAGGGCAAGCACACGGCGACAAGCTGCAGAAGAATCCTCACAAGCTCAATCTCCTAATTTGCCACACGAGCAGGGCACCTAAGGGGATCGACCATTGGGAACCAAGGAAGAAGTTAGCCAGTCGCGCTCGAGGCACTGAAAACGTCGGCCCGAGACTCCAACCCTGCGAGCGAAAGATGTCGAGAAGCTAGTAAATGACCAACTCCGAGGTCTCCGACTTAAAGGAACCACGGAGGAAGCCATGTGCAATGAAATTGATCGAGTTGATTGCTCGCCATTTACCGACGAGGTGGAACAAGCTCCACCGCCGAAGCGGTTTACAACGCCATCCATCACTCCATTCAAAATCTATCACTCCATTCAAGGGGGACTCTGACCCTGAGAGCCATTTGAGGCACTTCAAGAGCGCCATGATCCTGTACAAGGCAGACGACGCCCTAATGTGTAAAGTGTTCGTGATGACTCTGCGAGGAGCAGCTCAAGATTGGTTCTACATTTTACCGTCCGTGTCGATAGGCAACTTCAAGGAGTACGCCCTCATTTTTGCAAAGGAGTACACCTCCTACAAGACAGTCAGAACGCATGCGGACCACCCGTTCAACCTGCGCAAGAAGCCAGACGAGTCTCTTCGAGACTACCTGAGACGGTTTAAGGCTGAGAAGGCTAACATCATAGGATGTAACTATCAAATTGCATCTTCAGCTTTCAAGAAGGGCTTGCCAATTGAGCACGAGCTATACCGAGAGCTGGCCATAACTCCAAGCCAAACCTTGGCATAAGTGTTCACAACGGCAGAGCGCTACACACTTTGGGACGATGATCGTATCGCCGCAAAGAAAGCCAGCAAGCAAGTTGACCACCCGACGAAGTAGGCAAGCCAAAAAAGCAACAAGTTCGAGCAAAAAACCCTGGACAAGCTCAGATCGCGGCCCCAAGAGGGAGGCTCGGAAACAGGGACCTTCACCAAGTTCGCTATCCCAATCCACCAGATCCTGGCACAAGTGAAGGATAAGCCGTGGGTGAGAAGATTGCCACCCATGAGGGGAGACCATTTTAAGAAGGACACCAATAATTACTGCGCATTCCACGGGGAGCACGGTCATTACACCAACAACTGCAACGCCTGAAAGTGGCACCTGGATGAGCTGGTCAGAGAAGGCCATTGCACAGAATTCGTTGCAAAGAAGGCCAACTAGCAGATCGTGGATCGTGATGTAGCTGCCAAGGAACCTCCCCAAAAGGTCATTCGAATCAACACCATTCTAGCTGACTCCCAGGAGTCCGGGCTGACTACCAAGGAGCGTAAGAGAAAGATCGTGCAGGCGACTTATGTCTCTTAAGTCACAACTGGAGTACCAGTCATTGTGGATACACCCATTATCGGCTTCCAGAAGAAGGACTTGATCGGGCTTGACCTGCCACATAATGACGTCCTAGTCATCTGCATCCAAATTGAATAAGCTGTGATCGAGCGAGTTCATGTAGATGAGGACAGCGAAGCCAATAACCTACAACTATCTGTTATCCAACAGATGAGATTAGAGCCCAAGATTAGCAAACTTGCCTGATCCCTCACCGGCTTTAATGGGGCCACGTCAATCACTATTGGAACTATCAACCTTGACGTCCACTCACCCCAAGTGGTCTTCTTGCAAACCTTCATGGTCATCGACGAGATCTCCCCCTACAACGGAATTTTAGGCCGACCGTGGATTAGCAAGATCGAGGCCATCACATCTGCCCTACACCAGAAGATCCGCTACCCCATCCCTAGGGGCGGGATCAGGCAGATCAACAGTGACCAAGCCATGGCAAGGAGATGCACAGCCCAAAGTCTCAAGAAGAGCAAACAGTTGTAGTTCACACCAGTAATGCGAGTTGCCAATGAGGCAGGAGGCGCTCCTAACAGACAAGCAAGCTCGAATAGGAAGGAAGTTGCTACCTCGCAATAGAAATTAAGAAGCCAGGATCAAGGCGAGGGAATCTGCCCCGAAGACTCCCCTGAAAAGGGTTGGAAGTCTGAGGATGACGTCGAGTTAGTACCCCCTGATCCTGACCAGCCAGATAAAGAAGTGCAGATCTGCTCGAGCCAAAATCCAAACGAGAATGATCGAAACGAGGAAATCCACCCGGAAGGCTCCCTTGAAGAAGGTTGGAAGCTTGAGGAAGACGTTGAGTTAGTACCCCTCGATCCTGAATAGACAAACAAGAAAGCACGGATCGGCTCGAACCTAAGCCTCCATGCCAACTCTGCTAGCAAGCCCATAATGCAGAAGAGACGCAACTTCGCTCCTGAGCGGGTCATAATCATTGAAGCCGAAATCGACAAGCTTCTAGCTGCCAGTTTCATTGAAAAGGTCTCTTACTCGGAATGGCTGGCCAACGTTGTTCTGGTGGCGAAACAAGAAAAGGGCAAGTGGAGAGTGTGCATCGATTGCACCGACCTCAACAAAGCATGCCCTAAAGACAACTTCCCATTGCCGAGGATCGACTAGCTCGTGGATTCAACTTCCGACAACCAGCTGCTCAACTTCATGGACGCTTACTCTGGTTATAATCAAATTATGATGTACGACGATGACAAAGCGAAGACATTTTTCATCATCGAAAGGGGGACCTACTGCTACAAGGTCATGCCCTTTGGGCTGAAGAATGCCAGAGCAACCTACCAAAGGCTCGTGAATAAAATTTTCAATGAGCAGATCGGCAGAACCATGGAGGTCTACGTGGACGATATTCTGGTCAAAGCCCCCAAGCAGGCAGACCACCTCAAAAACCTCACCGAGGCGTTTAGCCTGCTCCGCCAATATTGCATGAAGCTGAATCCAAGTAAATGCACGTTCGGTGTATCGTCTGGCCGGTTCCTGGGGTACTTAGTGATGCAACGAGGTATCGAGGCACACCCGCGCCAAATCAAAGCCATTCTTGAGATGAAGTCTCCTTTTACAGTGAAGGAAATACAAAGCCTGACGGGCAGAGCAGCGGCCCTCAATAGATTCCTCTTAAAATCTACCGACAAGTTCAGACCATTCTTCAAAGCTTTGAAGAATGGACAAAAAGACAAGTGGGACGAGGAGTGAGAAGTAGCTTTCCAGAATCTAAAGACTTACCTCACTTCACCTCTCCTGCTCTCAAAGGCAGTTCCTGGTGAAGACATGTTCGTGTACCTGGCAGTGTCCAACTCGGCCGTGAGCTCAGCTCTCATCCGAAAAGAACTTGGGGCTCAACATCCAGTATTCTACACTTCAAAAGCTCTCCTCGATGCAGAGACTCGCTACCCGAAATTGGAGAAGCTCATTTTGGCCCTTGTAGTTTCCGCGACAAAGCTGCGACCCTATTACCAAGCTCATCGAGTCATCGTCATGACTGACTTTCCTTTGAGATCAATCCTCCATAGCCTTGATACTTCTCAGCAACTCATGAAGTGGGCTATAGAGCTAAGCCAATACGACCTCCTCTACCGGCCGAAGGCTGCAATAAAAGCCCAAGCATTGGCAGACTTTGTTGCAAAATTCACACCATCGGCCGAAGAAAAGAAGCTGGTTGGCAAAAAGAAGGAAAGTTCAAGAGTAGACAAGACCTCCGTTGAACTTAACCAACCCAAACACATGTGGCAGTTGCACGTAGATGGAGCGTCGAACCAGAAAAGAGCTGGAGTAGGTGTCACCATCATCACCCCATATGGAAGCTTGCTAGAGCAAGCTATCACGCTTGGCTTCCCAGCTTCAAACAAACGAGGCAGAGTACGAGGCATTGCTCGCTGGCTTGCGCTTGGCAAATGACCTATCAATCAAAAAGCTGGCCATCTACTCAGATTCCCAGCTGATCACAAGTCAAGCCTCAGGAGAATACATGGCGAAGCACTCGAGGATGATCTTATACCTTGACAAAGTACAAGGGTTATTGAAGGCGTTTCCCACCTTCACCATCCAGCGGGTGCCCCGAGCAGAAAACGCACACGCAGATGCACTGGCAAGCGTAAGATCAGTGCTGGATACCCAGTTCAGACGCTCCATCCCGGTCCAGCACCTTGACTAGTCTAGCATAGAAGAGGTAGAGCAGCCGGACCTGATGCAGATCGATGAGGATCCTAGCTAGCAAGACCCCATCGTTAACTACCTAGTGAATGAAAACTTGCCTGAGGACAAGTCCAAGACCAGAAAAATCAAGCAGAATACTGCAAGATACTACATGAAAGGCGACATGTTTATCCGCAGATCATACTCCGGGCCTCATCTCACTTGCATCAAGTACCCACAAACGCTCGAGGTTCTCTGCAAAATACACGATGGTTAAAATGTAGAAATCACGCTGGGGGCAGATCGCTTGCTCAGAAGGCTCTCAGCATTGGCTATTTCTGGCCTACCATGCACCAAGACTCCACGGAATATGCTCGAAGATGTGATCGATGCCAACGCTACAAGCCGGTCCCTGGCCTGCCCGCTGAGGAATACCATCTGCAAAATAGTCCATGGCCATTTATACAGTGGGCCATTGACTTGGTGGGACCGATGCCGACCGCACCTGCCAATAAAGAGATGATTATCATTGCCACTGATTACTTCACCAAATGGATCAAGGCCGAGGCTTTATCTTCTACCAAGGAAGCCGATATTGAATGATTCATCTGGAAGAACATTATTTGCAGATTCGGTTACCCACAATTGATAATCACCGACAATGGTACACAGTTCGTGGGCAGGCAGACCACCGCATTCCTTTTGAAGTATGGCATCACACAGCACCTGTCAACTTCCAGATACCTACAAGGCAGGGGCCAAGCAGAGGCATCTAACAAGATTGTGTTGGACTGCCTAAAAAAAAGACTGGAAGGCACATAAGGAAAATGGGTCGACGAGCTGCCAGGAGTCCTATGGGCTTGTCGCACAACCAAAAGGAGATTGACTGGAGAGACACCATTTTCCCTGGCCTATGGGACATAAGCAATCATTCCCCCACACATCACAGTCCTTTCCATAAGCTGTTGAGGTGGATAGTCTTGACCAAAACTGCAAGCCGATAAAAGTCAATCTTGATCTGCTCGAAGAAGAACGAGAAAAGGTCATTGTTCGGGTGGCAGCTTACTAGTAGTAGCTCACATCTTGCTACAATAAGAAGGCCATTGTTTGAGTTGCAACTTATCAGCAGCAGCTCACGTCTTACTACAGAAAGAAGACTATTGTTCAAGCAGCAGCTGGCATCTTAAAACAACAAGACTATTGTTCTAGTTGCAGCTTACCAGCTTGACTTCAAGTAGGCGACGAGCCTCCCTTACATCCATTGAAGGCAAGATACTCCTCGAAGCACAAACTCAATAGAGTCTTTTTCAAGCGTTATGTTCCCAACATACGCACACAGGTGACGAGCCTCATCTACATTGCAGACAAGCTGCTCCTCGAAGCACAAACTCAGTGGAGTCTTTTTCGAGCATTATGTCCCGGACATACGCTCAAAGGTGACTAGCCTCACCTCTATTGCAGACAAACTGCTCCTCGAAGCACAAACTCAATGGAGCCTTTTTCGAGCATTATGTCCCTGACATACACTCGCAGGCTACAAGCCTCATCTCCATTGCAGACAAGCTGCTCCTCGAAGCACAAACTCAGTGGAGTCTTTTTCGAGCATTATGTCCCCAACATGTGCTCGTAGGCGACAAGCATCACCTCCACTGAAAGCAAGCTACTTCTCGGGTACAAACTTCATGGAGTCTTTTCAAGCGTCATGTCCCCGACATACGCTCACAGGCGACAAGCCTCACCTCCATTACAGGCAAGCTGCTCCTCGAAGCACAAACTAGATGGATTCTTTTTCGAGCATTATGTCCCCGACATACGCTCGCAGGCGACAAGCCTCACCTCCATTGCAGACAAGCTGCTTCTCGAAGCACAAACTCGATGGAGTCTTTTTCGAGCATTATGTCCCTGACATACACTCGCATGCGACAAGCCTCATCTCCATTGCAGACAAACTGCTACTCGAAGCACAAACTCAATGGAGTCTTTTTAAAGCATTATATCCCCGACATACGCTCGCAGGCGACAAGCCTCACCTCCATTGCAGACAAGCTGCTCCTCGAAGCATAAACTCAATGGAGTCTTTTTCGAGCATTATGTCCCTGACATACACTCGCATGCGACAAGCCTCATCTCCATTGCAGACAAGCTGCTCCTCGAAACACAAACTCAATGGAGTCTTTTTCGAGCATTATGTCCCCGACATATGCTCGCAGGCGACAAGCCTCAGCTCTATTACACACAAGCTGCTCCTCGAAGCACAAACTTAATGGAGTCTTTTTCGAGCATTATATCCCCGACATACGCTCGCACGTGACAAGCCTCACCTCAATTGCAGACAAGCTGCTCCTCGAAGCGCAAACTCAATGGAGTCTTTTTCGAGCATTATTTCCCCGACATACGCTCGCAGGCGACAAGCCTCACCTCCATTGCGGACAAGCTGCTCCTCGAAGCACAAACTCAATGGAGTCTTTTTCGAGCATTATGTCCCCAACATACGCTCGCAAGCGACAAGCCTTACTCCGTTGCAGACAAGCTGCTCCTCAAAGGACAAACTCAATGGAGTCTTTTTCGAGTATTATGTCCCCGACATGCGCTCGCAGGCGACAAGCCTCACCTCCTTTGCAGACAAGCCGCTCCTCGAAGCACAAACTCAACGGAGTCTTTTTCGAGCATTATGTCCCCAACATGTGCTCGTAGGCGACAAGCATCACCTCCACTGAAAGCAAGCTACTTCTCGGGTACAAACTTCATGGAGTCTTTTCAAGCGTCATGTCCCCGATATACGCACACAGGCGACACGCCTTACCTCCATTGTAGGCAAGCTACTTCACGAGTAGAAACTCAATGAAGTCTCTTTCAAGTGCTATGTCTCCGAACATACATTGACGAGATATAACATGAATTGAAGTTTGGAAGACAACTGAAAATTCCATAACAAATCGGTCAACCAGCAGCATCTACTCAACGGCCTCACCTGCCTGCTCCTTCATATCTGGTCTAGCCTTATCAGCTACGCCACATTGGGAGTTGTCTTCCTCCATTGCAGCTTCATCTGCTATCTGCTCTTCAACTGCTTCTGCATCCCCAACATTGCTCTGCTCACTTTGAGCAGGGGGCGGAGCAAGATAAAGCTGCTTAACGTCTTCATATTGGAGAGGGCAACAAGGAGAAGCACTGTTCCTGTAATCCAAGTATCCCAACTTGTACACATTAGCAACAATCTCATGCTTGGATGCCTCCGTGGCTTCAACATGAGTGTTGAACTTGACCAATGGAGCTATCACCAACTTCTGGATTGGCAGTTCGCTCAACTTAAGGACTCTTTGCTCGAGCAGACGACTTTTTAGCTCTCTTGGCTGTAACTTGGAACATTGAGTCAGCTCCGCGCTTGACTGTTCGTGGCTTTGCAGACGAGTCGTGATTACTAGACAGATGTACAGTCCTCTCAGTTGGATCCCAGGATCGGCACAAGCAACTCCAACCCTGCTTCTCAACAGCCTCCTCATAAGGTAGATCATGGGTTTTAGGTAGTTCAAGCGGATACCTGAGCAAAATATCCCGGGCCTCTTGCATGCCATTGATCTTCTTACTGTTCGCGCTGATGAGGCGCTTGATCCTAGCAGATGAAAAAGCAACTCCCATAGGGACATTCTCAGCAGACGAGACCCCCTTACGGAAGAATGAGGAAGCTTGGTCGAGGACTTCTCCCGCTCAACTGGCAGATCATCTAGGTCCGAGCCATGCAGCTCCCATCTTTCAACATCTTCGGTTGGGGGCAGACCACCAGCTTCCGTCCGATGTTCACTCAGCAACCAGCACAATCCACAGAACCTGGCAAGGATGTTCAAAGCTTGATAAACATTGGTCGTGTTCGGGCCGAGATCGAGCTTCTTGTGGATGTCATTTTCTACAAGCAGGAGATAGAAGTCAGTCAGACATACAGCAAAGAATTCCATGGCAATTGTAGCATATCAAAGGGATGCAACTTACCATCACAGTAGGTGAGAGGAACGAGCGGACTGTCGCCAACTTCCCCTATCCATCTGCCGCTAACTTCCAACATGTCTGTGCTCCACACATGATCGCCTTGACTCATACTGTTCCTAGTTCGTGACACAAAAAGAAGAAGGAATTGAAGCAGTCTGCATCAACCATAAATAAGCCGACCCAAACTACCATCTACTCCAGCAGCAGGTTGGCTCACCTCCAGCCCATTTACAGCTGGACAGCCCAAGTTAAAAGACCAAAGTTTCAAGTCAAATATCTCCTCCACTTAGGAGCCCAAATCCAAGAAAGAAGCCTAGTTACAGCTGGACACCCCAACAAATAATTCACATCTCCTACATGCCACCACGCGCCATGCAACAACTAGGGGGCATTTGTGGGAACCAAATTAAATCAGACCCTAGGTCAAATAATTCCCTCCATTTGGTGATTATTTGACCTAATTGGGAATTACTCAACCTAATTGGGAGTTACTCAATTTAATTGGGGGTTACCCAATTAAATTGATAATTACCTAATTAAATTGAGATTTGATTTGATTCCTACCACAATTAGGGATTTGACTTACCCTAATAAATCAAATCCCTAATTAATCAAATCAATTCCAAATCGGGGAGGAATAATTCCCTTCCATCTAGGGAATTATTCCTCTGAAACCCTAGCCTCCGAGACCACTACAAAAGGATAGCCACACACCAAGGTTAAGGTACTTCTAAATTCCTACTGAAACTCTGCAAAAATCATTTCTCCAAAACCCTAGCCACTATATTCTTTCTCTCTCTAACACAAGGCTCCGGCCACCACACACGGCTCCGGCCACCCAGTTTTCCTTGAAATACCCTACCTAACTTAGGCATCGGAGGGCCTTTGGCCAACACCCCCCGGGTGTGGTCCTTTTACCCTGATCTGTTTTGCACGGAGAAAGAGAAGTGGAGAAGATGAAGGAATCTTTGGCGAATATTCTTGTGGGACGAAATTCACTCCCACAAATTGGTGCTTTCATTGAGAGCACGAGATATATTCAAAGCGTGCTCCAAATCCATCTTTCACACGTTTTTTCAAACAACCATGGTTGATACAAGACGTACGAAAAGTAATGCCACCACAACGGGCCCATCTCATGGTTTCGTGGTGGAAACCTCAATGCAACCGCACGGAATCGTGGCTGCCAACACCTTACACCCGTCTTCTAGTGCTTTGCAGCCGCCTTCGGCTGCTGTAATTGTAGAATAGCTACCACATGACCCTCCTCTCTTCTCCCTCATACATAAGGTTCAACTACACGCCAAGACAATATAAAATGTCAACTCCCTCCTCTCTTCTCCCTCTTTATTGTGCTTTCAGTGTTTGCGTGCTGAGATGACCAAAACGTTTCCTATCTTAATGATTTCTACAAGGATGTCCTAAATGTAGAAGGTTCCGATCATTAAATACATTTATTAGTGGGAAGGATGTGCTCTTACAACAAGGACATCCTTAACATAAACAAATTATATATGTATATTGTGGGAACCGAATTAAATCAGACCCTAGGTCAAATAATTCCTTTCATTTGGGGATTATTTGACCTAATTGGGAATTACGCAACCTAATTGGGAGTTACTCAATTTAATTGGGGGTTACCCGATTAAATTGATAATTACCTAATTAAATTGATATTTGATTTGATTCCTACCACAATTAGGGATTTGACTTACCCTAATAAATCAAATCCCTAATTAATCAAATCAATTCCAAATCGGGGAGGAATAATTCCCTTCCATCTAGGGAATTATTCCTCTGAAACCCTAGCCTCCGAGACCACTATAAAAGGATAGCCACACACCAAGGTTAAGGTACGTCTAAATTCCTACTAAAACTCTGCTGAAATCATTTCTCCAAAACCCTAGCCACCATATTCTTTATCTCTCTGACACAAGGCTCCAGCGACCACACCCGGCTCCGGCCACCCAGTTTTCCTTGAAATACCCTACCTAACTTAGGCATCGGAGGGCCTTTGGCCAACACCCCCCGGGTGTGGTCCTTTTACCCCGATCTGTTTTGCAGGGAGAAAGAGAAGTGGAGAAGACGAAGCAATCTTTGGTGAATATTCTTGTGGGACGAAATTTGCTCCCACATATATATTGTTAGATTTCTATAGGAGTCCGTGATCTTTCACACAATCTAAAATACATAGAAAACATGCATGGCGTCATCTTCCTTGAGTACACGATCTCTGAATTCATTCAATCATAGCAGCAAAACACGAGCAAAAAGGCACGAATGGCTTAAGACTTATGCTCTCTCTTTATTATGAGTTTAGGGTTAGAGAACGTGTCTGATGAGAGCAAGGTCTTAAGCTTATATAGGGCTAGGTCACGTCATCTCTACTCATCACCAAGGGCCGACTTCACTAACACTCTACGACCATCAAACAACAATTCACGCAAAATGAAATAAATAGGACCCCTTTAATTGGCTTCAAAAGTTTCCTTATTTCACAAGGTTTCGGGCCTCAAGGTATAACCTAATTTAAACTCTTATTGAACTTGATATAACTTAGTATGTAGTGCACCAATCTAAATAGGAATATAACATATATATATATATATATATATATATGCCTGCCAATCATGTGGCAAGCTTCATGTCGGTTGAGATTGCGCTTGGCCTACCAAAATAGAAATATCACCCATCAACCCATCACAATTTCTTATGCTGTCCTCTGTCTAGCTATCAATTTATATACGTTCAAATTGACAATCTACCATCATGGTTGATACCACTTTATGGAAGGATAAAGAGTTTCCCCAGTCCCTCCACAAATCATAGCCTCCATTGAATTCTTATTCCAAAATATCATTTTCCACCTTCTCTATTCTCCATTGAGTGTGTGCTTCACACTCTTAAAATATGTTCTTGACTCACTATTTTGAACTTACTATTATGAAGCATGATGAAAGTAGATCAGAAGAAAATCTCATAAACAAATATTATTAGGCTCTTTCAGTTTATCCAGTATGGTCTTGGTCGAAACCATGTTTTTTCTTCTGTTCCAGCATTTGGTTTTAACATCTGGTAATGCAGTTATAGGTCATCACCACCATCCTCATCACTCTTTGCTTGCAGACAAGGCTGCTCTTCTGGAGTTCAAGAAAGCCATTGTATATGATCCACATTCCACACTAGCTAATTGGAACGAAGCTACCGGTGTCTGCAACTTCACTGGTGTCAGCTGCAACAAAAGGTGTCATCGCGTATCAGAACTCCTTCTGCAGGATTATGAGCTTGTAGGGCGGCTTTCTCCTATCATTTCGAATCTAACAGGCCTTCGTAACCTATCACTCGTAGGCAACCATTTTTACGGAACTATCCCTTCTGAAATTGCCTTGCTAAGGCGCCTCCATCATCTTCTGCTTGATAGGAACAGCTTTCATGGTTCAATACCAGATTCCTTAGCCCTTCCTTCACAGCTCACTATAGTCAGTCTATTGCAAAATAATTTAACCGGTGGCATTCCACCTACATTTTTCTCCAACTGCACTATGTTAAAGGTTTTAGACCTTTCCAACAACTTTCTTTCTGGAAAAATTCCAATTGAGATTGGAAATTGTCCAAACCTATGGAGCCTCAATTTATACAACAACCGGTTAACTGGAGAACTTCCTCTGTTTTTGACCAATAACTCACTGGCCAATTTAGATGTAGAATGTAACCATCTTTCTGGTGAACTGCCCATCAAATTTGTACAAAAGTTGCCAAATATTATCTATCTTCATTTGTCTAATAACAATATGATAAGCCATGATGGCAACACAAATCTCAACCCATTCTTCACTGCCCTCACAAATTGCACTAGTCTAGAGGAGCTTGAATTGGCTGGCATGGGCCTTGGAGGAGTATTGCCTAGTTCCATTGGCGGCCTTGGTATCAACTTTTCAAATCTGTTGCTGCAAGAAAATCAAATCTTTGGCTCCATTCCTCCAAATATAGGTAATCTTTCTAAGCTTGTGGTGTTGAATATATCCTCCAATCTTCTGAATGGAACAATTTCAGCAAACATAAGTCAGCTGTCAAACTTGGAACAGCTTTTCTTATCACACAACCTTTTCGCCAGTGCAATTCCACCGGCATTAGGGCAGATGACTCACCTCGGCCTGCTTGATCTGTCTCACAATACGTTCTCCGGTGATATTCCAAGCAGTATAGGAAATTTGGTTAGGCTGAACTATCTGTTCCTCAACAACAACCTCCTTTCCGGATCAATACCTCCAACATTAGTACACTGCACAGAATTGTACAAGCTTGACTTATCATACAACAGATTGACAGGGAGCATCCCCCCAGAATTATCAGGTTTGAGTGAGATCAGAATTTTTATTAACCTGTCACATAATCAGCTTGAAGGGCCCATACCGATTGAGCTCAGCAAACTGAAAGATGTTCAAGAGATAGATCTTTCATCAAATAACCTAAGTGGAAGTATCTTTCCACAGATATCAAGCTGCATTGCATTGACCCTGTTAAACTTCTCACACAATTCTTTGGAAGGGAAACTTCCAGATTCCATAGGTGAGCTAAAGAACCTTGAGTCCTTTGATGTTTCAGGAAACCACTTGTCTGGAAGGATTCCGCTAAGCCTCAACAAAAGTCAAACACTCACATATTTAAATCTTTCTTTCAATAACTTTGAGGGAAGGATTCCCTCTGGTGGCATCTTTGAATCAGTCTCATATTCATCTTTCTTGGGAAATCAGCACCTTTGTGGTCCAGTTGCTGTCAAACCTGCTTGCCCTCGGAAAAATCGTCTGTTTCGTTCACGCATTTACTTAATCATATTCACCTTAGTCATATTCATATCAACATCCTTGTCAATAATATGCTGTGTGATTGCATTCCGGCACATTAAGGCACTAATTTCAGCTGAGAGGACTGAGACAGCAAGAAAACCCACACAACCAGAATTGGTTCATAATTTCCCAAGAGTTACATATCGAGATCTGTCAGAGGCCACTAGTGGATTTGATGATCAGAGACTGCTTGGGATGGGCAGCTATGGACGCGTCTACAGGGGAGTTCTTCCAGATGGGACAACTATAGCAGTCAAGGTCT